TGACACCCTGCAGGGTTTTTTACTGGAAGTGAGGCCAGTATCAGCTGGAGGTGAATGGGTTTTAAATCGCCTGTGTGACCTTTGCCCCTCTGTCCTCAAATGGCCCCACCATCATTAAAAGACACACTGGAGGGCGTTCAACATTTAATAGACCACCGTGTATGATGAGATTTAATTTTTTTTATTTCATTGCAATGGCAGTTATGACACATGGATAATGGTGTAGACGTATATGATCAACCTGGAAGGGTTTGATTATCCCAGACTATGGAGAGAGTCACTTTAGTTATATGGGTAAAACTGATCATGTGACAAATCAAGTCTTAAATCTTGCAGCTTCAGTCAAAAAAGTCACTTATTTCAGCATCAAGCTGCATTTACAATTATGATAGATTTGTAACAAAACCAGACAAATCTGCTTGATTTTAGTTCTGTAAAATTTGCTGATGAGTGTTGTGTAACAACTGACTAATGAACCTGAGGTGTGGGAGGTAAACAGGAAAGGCAAAATAAATGACTGTATCATTCACACAAGAGCCAGTGGTTGTTGGTCCTAATCCCTCTGTCTCTGTTGTCAGACCTTCAGGTGGCCCATTGCCAGCAGGTTGGATGGAAACGAGATGCTGGAGATCCACGTCTACAACTACAGCAAAGTCTTCTCCAACAGGTGAGCTTCGGCTGCAGCCTGGAAATCACGTTGTTTATGGCCAACAGGATTTTGATAATGAACAGCTTGTGGTTGTCGTTGGTCTTCCTGTCACAGGCTCTGACCAACTCACCATGACACACAGCATGTGTTTCCCAGCTAAAGCAGCGTAAACACTATAGTCCCTGAGAGCCTGTTCTAAATTGACTCAATTGTGTGTCTAACAAATTGCCCACCACACAGCTGGTCACCAGCATGAGTGAGTTTCACATCAGGAGGAGAGTGGGCTGTAATGAAACAGCCCCATATTGTAGTCCCTCAGTAGTGGCTGCATTTGTCACTCCACACACTACAAACAATCACGATGGGAAAAGACTCCTGTTCTGTAAGACCCAGAAAACTGCAGGTCCCTCTTTGAACATGTCTGATTCTACATTGACTCTAAGTGTTGAAGCCGTTGTTGATAAATTATCCTCTTCCTCTTCTGGTTTATCCGTTTGAACATATCCAACCTATCCCTGTAGAGCAGTGGTCACCAAAGTGGGGAGTGGGTCCCCTCAAAGGGCACACAGCATTTGCTGGAGGACACAACTGAACTTTCTTTATTTGTAACACAGAGGGACATTTTTATTGAATGTTAACCTGATGAAGAAAATGTTACCTTTTGCTAAAATTCAGTATTGTTGAGATAAAACTAAGCTTCTTGGACGCTCTTGTCTATTTTCCATACCTTGTCAGGTTGTTGTCGTTGCCTCCAGTCTGTCTTTAATGAAAGAAAATCAAATTGAATATATGTCTGTTTCTTGCGCTGGTGCCAAGGACAATATTCTGTAAAAGTCGGTGGCTGCTGAGAGGAGACAGAGACAGTTATCTCAGCTGAGGCAGTGGTCATCGGTTCTGAACTCACTGACTGCAGGGCTGGAGCCTAAAAGAAAGAGATAAGGGCCAAGGCTGTCACAGTGGCCGCTCATAAAAATCTAAAGGGCCACACTGACTTTCCGTGACTTAAAAAGGGACAAACAAACATTTGTTGCTTAGATCGTCCAATCCTGAGACAGGCAGGCCTTTAAATGATGTTTCCACATCTAAACCAAAATCTTCTGCTGATGCTGGTCGCCCTGCCTTTGTTCCTCTGTGCATAACAAATTCAATCAGACCTTTGATGTGTCCTGTCCGGAGATAAATTATTGCCGCCCACACAGTCATTAGAACTTCCCATGTCTCTGTTTGTGTAGGCGGGGATTTTATTTGCATTCACCCTCTCTCTGTGACCTCATCATGTGGATCATGTGTCAACGTTCTGGGTGTTAGCGTTGGTAGGCGGCGACTCGTTTCCCATCTAGTTACAAAGTGATCAAAGCAGTGAGCAGGTACGCGGACAGTTGTTGTTGTATCTGTTTCACCTCAAAGCTGCCTCCACCTGTCAACATGATTCTTCAGGTGTAAGTAGCTCAGTAGACAGCTGGAGGACACGGTGCAGGTGGAGCAGGTGGAGATGAGTTATGAGTTATGTGGGACAGGAGGAGAGCAGCAAGAGTGAGGAGATCGTAATGAGACCTGATATGATGCAGTGTTGTACAGACAGGGGGCTGAGCTGCAGAGCTGAAGATGCCGAGAGCTCCATGACACAGAGGCTGATGATGTACCGTAGGAAGTTGGCAACTAATGAGTATAAGAAAGAATTAACTTCACGAGAGAGAAACATCACAGGGTAGAACAGCACAGATATGTGATACAAGGCTCAGAGCAAACATTGAAAAAGCTTCAGCAGCCATTTTCATGTTTATGCGTTGTATTCCTGCATCTTCAACAGTCCTGATAATCCTTCTTTGTACTTTGTACACTCTAACAGAAGCTCTTAAACCATCATGTGCAGTACAGTACTACAGATGGTGTGTGCTCTTATATCTTGTGTTCCTATGATTTGTTATGTAGCACCATTCCAGAGGCAACATTTTGTATTCCTATAGTGTTATGAAAAAGAAAGTCAAACATCACTGTGTGGTTTTCCTTGGAATGAATAATGTCCTGTACAACGTTCCCAGAGGAAACATCCAAAGAGAAATCTGCTGAAGTACAGTAGACTCATTTTCTGAGGAACATTCAAACCCTGTTGTCTTAGAGCTGAAGGATAAGTACCGTCGTGGTCCTCACACATGATCATAACATGTATAAATGTCATGATTTGATCAGTGCATTATCATGTGACTACAAGGACTTAGTTAAACGTATCACTGCGACATAGTGACCGACACTGTTGTTAATCCAACAAATAAGTTGGAAACAGGCTCAGTAATGACTAACTATGTTATTTAATTCTTTGACTTGACATTTGAACAACAAAATGTAGTAATTTAACTCTTTACATATAGAGTTTTAAAAAACCTGTGATGCGAGTCAATACTTAGATTATACATTTAAACTTTGACTTGACATTTGAACAACAAAATGCAGTAATTTAACTCTTTACATATGGAGTTTTAAAAAACTTGTGATGTGAGTCAATACTTTTAAAGTTTACTTCAGCTGAGTAGCTGAAAAAACACATTACAACAGAAGCAGAACATTTGTCTGAGCTGCTACCTGCAGGTTTTATGATGAACATTCAATGAGTGATGGTAAGAGTTTCTATGAGCCAACAGGTGGATACTCGGTTGGTGGTAGCATTCTGCAGAAATGTGTAACACGCTGAGGCCAGAAAGCTGAGACGATGTCCCAGATTGGGATGTGATAGGATTTTGAAACTTACTGTATCAGAACCAGCTGTTATCTCAGAGCTGGGACAGTCACAGCTTCATCTTACAGTGTGCGTTAATCCATCGCCCACACAGACAAAGTCAATTATAGATTTGATCAAAAAAAAGACGAGTGGGAAACTTTCTACGACTGCCTGAAGCCAATGGAGGACAGTGTAGAATAAGTTTTTCTGAGTTTTGTGATGAAGGAGAATGTTATATAAATTGGCAGAACTGCAAAGGAGCAACTTATCATAACTAAAATATAAAGTTAAGTTATAGCTACAATCCCAATTCCATGTAATTGTTTAATCTGAACTAATCACAATCTGATGCTGCTCATGTTATTCATTGGGACCTGGTCGTCTCTTAAACACCTCCCAACGCTGGTCTGGGTGAGTGAATAATTCAGGGGGGCAGTCGTGATGGGTGCTGTCTTCACACCTTCTCCCTGTGTCACAGTAACTGAGCAGCTTCACCGTGGCGTTGTACGGTCAGTGTGTCACGCTGCCGACAATCCTCCAGTGTGTGATCACGTTACCTCTTCACAAAAAGGAGGCGGTGATGTGTGACGGTGTCCTCGCTGTAGTGGTGTAAAGATGCTGTTCTATTATCTGTTTCCCCTGAGGACTCGTGTTGAAGAGGTGGTGTGATTGTATGTACCAGAGGGTCTCCAATCTGAGGGCGGTGGCTCCCCAAGTGTCTCATGATGGAATTTTAGAATTTCTATTTTATTTTTTACTATTATTATTCTATGTGTATGACTTTATGTCCAATGTATTTATCATTAAATGTTACTCTTTGACGTTTGACGTCATTGTTGAAACCAAGGTGATGGTTTTATCACAACGTGATTTTCCGACTACATGTTTCTGAGGTTCTGGTTTTTAAACTCTTGTATTTTTATGAGCACAGACTAAATTCTACAAATGAAGTGTCTGCCCTAATCCAAAACCTGGTCTTTGAGAAACATGTTTGCAAAGTTTTCCAAACCTTCCACCCTATCCTTGACCATACTAAATATAGGAATAATCCTAATCCTAAATCTCAGATGACCATGATCAGATTTGAACCCCAAAATACATCCTAAATCCTAAAAATGATTTTCTTAGGGCACACACCCTCTCTCTCTCTCTCTCTCCCACACCCTCTCTCTCTCTTTCTCTTTCTCTCTCTCTCTCACCTGCCCACTGTAGCATTTCCAATTCACACCGTCCACCCACTTGAGTGACCAGCGGCTGTGATGGATTAGTTCAGTCTTCAGAGAATTAAATCTCTCCGACTTTTGCAGGATTATTTCCAGTGGATTAATTTTTCTTATTTTGACTTAGCCCAAAAAAAAATTCAAAGCTCTGGAATAATTTAAATTAAAAAAGAAGGGAGCTGTGAATTATAAAGCAGATGAAAGTAAGTTGTTTGAACTACAATTAATAATAAATGGCACCTTTTGAAGTGCTAAAAAGTGAGACGGAACATGATCGGCCCAGCCGCGCTCAATTATTCAACACTGCTACGCACGTTACAATGGCTGAAAGGAAATGACCGATCGTTTGCTTTTCCTATTAGCCCTGGACACATTGATCACCACTGACTGGTTAAAAGAAATGGACGTCTGCACCGTGATGTTTCACGTCAAACAACCAAATGACTTTATAGACGTCCATTTTAAATCACATTGAGTTCGAAGATCAGTTAACACTTTACTATTGTAATCAGATTGAGAGAAAAAAAGATATTGTGGAGTGAGACCATGTCTGCTGCTGCGTTGTGGTTTTATAATTTATTTAAAAGTGACGAAAACATCTTAAAGTCCAGACTTATTCTTCGTGTACGAAGGTCTGCTGACAAATGTGGCCTCACTTTTTACACTCTGGATTGAATTTATCGCCGCTGACGCTGACCCACAGAAAGTCAAATAAGAAAGTAAGGACAGCGATTAATCTCTGGCCAACCAGTAGGAGAATTAAACTTCGCCTTCACTTTTTTCCCCTAAAATGCAATTGGGAATAAAAATGTTGTGTGAAAAATAATTTGAATATGTATTAATTATATGACAAAAATGCAATTGGGAATAAAAATGTTGTTTTCAACATTTCAACATTGATGGAGGTTCTGCCAACAAATCAGTACTAAGTCATTTGTTATGTTTCTTAATAATTAAATCAATTAAAAAGAGCAGGGTGTGTGACTCAGTGGTCAATTTAAATTATTTCTTCTTCTTATATCGTGTCGTATCGTGTGTTTATCTGCAAATGTTCTCAGGTCGCTTTTGTCTGCTCGTCATTTTCTACAGTCATTCTGAGACACCCGCATCATTAGCTGTGGTCCCTGTGTTGCCTGTGTGTGTGTGTGCATGTGTGGTTAGGATATTGATCATACACTTTCATTTGATGACATTATCGCTCCCTGAAGACTCATATCTAGGCTGTTGTTTGTGTTTGCTGTTTTCTAATGAGTCTCCTGTTTCACTAACACTGTCACCACTACTGCATGTGTGCATGCAGATATATATATGTATACTTATATTATACATATATATTACATTACTGTAATATTACATTACAGTAATATTACATTACTGTATATGTTACATTTATGTTTTTATGTTAGACATAAATGTATACTGACACTTTAAATATATTTAGAGTATTTATGCACTATATATGTGTGTATATGTGTATGAATATTGAATATATATGGAAGCGGTTGTGTCTGAGCCTGCGTCGTCCTCCCTGGTCTGTCAGTGTGGCAGATTGCACTGTTTTGGGGGAAACTCTTTAAATTATTCACCAGCTCTAATTGACTGGTTGAATGGGGACTGTACTGGGTTTCTGCCCACCGTTGTGTATAATGTAATGAGGGATCCCTGCACAGCATAGCAATGGAGCTGATTTGCAATGATTGAATATGTGAAAGAACAGTCATCTGCTTAGGATTTGACTTGATAACATCAATATTCTGCTTTTTTTTTAAGACTGCATGTGTTTGATACAGTCCCTTTTTAACGACTTGGTCAGTTCTACAGCTCACAGCCTATAAAAATGAAGTGCTATGAAGCTGCATTGCTTGCTGGATTGTGCGTCATAATACAGTTGATGACATCAATAACATTTTATAAAAAAAAAAAAAAACTGGTTCAATTACAGCATGGTCTGATTTGTGTCGTGCACAGTGTATTTGTTCGTGTGTCGGTTGCTTTCCCTCTTGTATTTATTGAGGCTTTCAGTCAATGATTCCTCTGTGACCTGGGTGTTGACGACAACAGTAACAGTAGGTCTGATAAAATGTGGAGCGGCCGTAACAATTGTAAAATTGTGCGTTATATCAGATACAAGGCTGAATTCCAGGAAAATGAATCTGTGCTTTATTCTCTGGAAACTTCCAGATCAGTAAACACCCTGTATCTGTGGATTTAGAAAAAGAGCTTGTGGGCCTTATGAAATCAATTATTTGATAACATAAAAGACAGCAATTTAGCCCTCAAAGAAGACATCTTGTCTCAGGGGGGAGTAAGCGCTAGACTAAAACAAACAAACAAAATATATATATACATCCATCCATCCATTTCTTAGGCATTATCTGTGAAAATGTCCAGTTTTCTTACCCATTTTAACACCAAATCACTTGGTAATACTTCCTAATAGTGTGAACAGAAACGCTGTGAGTAGAAGCTGAGGACAGAGGTGATTGATCTGTGCTGTGTATTTACCTAGTATTTTACCCAGTATTTTAAAGGATTTTCTGACAAAGACAATGTAGTACTATCTCCCACTATCTGTCAGGGCACATATCCATCAGTAAGAACCTGCAGTATTTTGGGCTCTGGCACATACAGTGCAGTACTCGGCTACTCAGTATGCTCAGTAGGACGGTGAGGTAAGAGCAGATGCGTCTGGTAACAAAAAAAAGAGTACATTTTGTCAATATCTGGCAGTAAAACTGGAAAAGTCAAGACCATTTGTTCAACAGGAGAGAAGAGCTGGGCCAATCAGCACGTATTGATCCGATTGATTTCTGTTAAACCTTGTTGATTTGTGCAGACTGGTGGGGAGTTTCTCTATGGTCCTTCAGAAGGTGGCAGAGGAAGGACACTTAGAGCTGGCAGACACACTCATCGATGACAACAACACATCCATAAAGGTAAGAACTCTACTGACACACTGGAGTCGACAGTAGGGCAGTCAGCTGTCTATGGAGACAGAAGTGAGAATTTACTAAGAGCTTTTTTATTCATTGTAACAAAACACCAAGCGTTTAAGTCATTTATTTGCAACTAATAAAGGTTGTCTCATCTATCTACATTTTAAAAAATGATACCTTGGTAACTCAAGGTAACTCAAGCTGGAACGATTGACCGATTAATTCATTTAAAAATAATTTTTTGAAAAAAAAAAGATATAAAAAGAAGCTTCTTTTCAGTAGTTTAACCAGAAACATTGGTTCTGCTGATGCACAATTGCTACAAACATTTAGCAAAAATTCACATTTTAACATGTAGTTTTATACTGTGATTATTGTTGATATTACATTCATATAGATGTCTTTATAATAGAACACTATTTGAAGTTTCTGCTGGCCCTGAAAGGAAAGAATTAGTTTTTTTAATAAATAATCCTTTCATTAAACTGAATCAGAAAAATACTTTAAAATGTTTGATTTTCTGCTTTTCTTGTTTTGATTCATAACAGTCTAATGAAAACTGTTTTGACAAAAAACTTCATTCAATCATCATTTCAAGGTTTTAGGCAAAATGATGAGCATCATCTTTGGCTTTTTAAACAAACTACCAACCAGAAAATTAATTCCAAAAAGCAATTTGCTGATCAACTAACTAGAACAATAATAATTATTGGCAGCCAGACAAAATAATTAAAAAGTAATTTTTACCAATAAACACATAACATATTTGTTTGGTCAGAAAAAAGACGAGAATTTTTGTATCTGCTAAAGACTTTGCCAAATCCTCTTCTGGATTAAAGACAACTTTTGTAGGTACGGTCAACTGCTCCACAGGTAATTTTAGCAGATGTTTTGCAGACTTTCCACACGAACATCTGCTACGAAGGTAATGCAGACATTAAGCCAATCTGCAGCCTTTAATGGTCAGGATCAGAGAAGATATGAGGCTCTGATGAGATTCTCAGAGGACTTGATTGCTTCCACTATAGCGAATGTACTGGACCAGCAGAACATTTTAAATGGCCGTCTCCAAAATGAGCTGGTCTGAGGTTCACTTGGAAACAGTCTGAGAGAACAACCTTTTGCCCTGATGTCTGCATAGAACATAAAAACAGCGTTGAACGTGTAAAGAATCAAAAACAGCTTTGATGTAACCTGGAGTTTTCAGCGGCGAAAGAGATTTAATCGTTTCATTTAAACTTCCTGTGTGTGGTTTTCCCTTTTAATTAAGAATTGTGTTTTAAGTGTAAGAAGAAAGGAAGCAGCCAACACTGTCTGTGTGAGTGAGTGTAAAACACAACATGAAACTCACACACACGCACACACCCGTGCACCAACACCAGCCTTTGTCATGAGCACACATCAAAGTGAACACACATTTTATTCAGTGCCACACATCCCTGCAGCAAAACACTAAAACCTCAGTTCTTTTACAGTACACTTACATTAGTATGTGTTACCATAGTAACAAATCCAACTCCTGGTGGACTACAGAGATTGCCATCCGGGGTTGAAAGGCGGGCGACACGGATGTGCAGGGGGAGACAGGGATGCTGGGATCTATATGTCCCCCCTCATCTGTCTCTGTCAGTGGAATAAATTGGCCTTTTCATAATCAGGTCATCGTCGAGGGGACAATATATGTCCGGGCTCGAATTCCTCCCCCCGAAGGCAGCGAAGACAAACTGCATTGTCCTCCTGGTTTCTGGCACCAGACAAGAATTGCTGTTAGTTTCCATTCTTCCAGCAGATATCGTGTGTGGCAACAGAAATGGTGATGCACAGCTGGTCTGGGTGCAGTGAAAAGACAAGTACAAACACAAATTAACTGCACTGATGTGGAGGGCATTTGAGCTACAGCAGGAAAAGGTGGTCCTTCTACAGAATAGGAATAAAATGGTGTCAGCCTCATAATATACACAGACGAGTTCTGTTTAAAGACTATGTTGAATAAATGTAAATAATAATTTGTACACAGACGAGTTCTGTTTAAAGACTATTTTGAATAAATGTTGTAAATAACAAATTGGTAGTTTTAGACCTAGGTTTGTTGTTGCATTAAAACATTGTGAATTATCATAGTGATTTATGGATATATATCTAAAATACTGTTAAAAAATAAGACACAGGCAGAGTTAACAAAATGTTAAGGAAGTCAAATTTAACTAAATTTCCTACATAGTGATTTGAAGCCTTTGACAGTTATTGACATTTTCAGACTCAACTCTTCCCTTCTCTGCAGACCAGTGTGACCCTGGAGATCAAATACCAGCCCATGGATGGGACGGTGGGGGTGTGGAGCGATGGGGAGTTCCTGGACGTGCCTGACGACCGTGATGGAATTTTTACCTTTGAAACTGACAGCTTGTTATCTGGACAAAGCCCAGGATCAGGAACATCACCTGGAAGAAGCTTGCAGGGATCAATACCCACCTTCAAAAAGTAAGTCCAACGTCCCTGCTGCAATAAATAACAACAGGATACTGATAGGGATTAATGAATTAAATTAATAATTTTCCTTTAAGGAGTTACACCTAAAATAAAGTCACATAAATGTCTACTGATTTTTACAAATACTTTTGCAGTAGTACTAGTATTTTCTGTGTAATTAGGCATTTCACATGTTTAAGTCGAACAACACAAATAAAGACATGAAAAAACTGAAGAATCTGTTAAAAACATGATGTCATAGATTATGAAGGCATTACTAAGAAAACGAGGAGTAGTGAATTATGAAGGCATTACTAAGAAAACGAGTTGTGGAGGAGTTGCCTCACAGTGTGTGTCAGTGATTTATCAGCCTGGAGCTATGTGAAACCTGTATACCTCCTGGACTCTGGGCAGATCTGGTTCAAAGTGTAAGGCATCACAAAAACAGTCTGAAGCTGTCAGGGCTGAGTCCATTTAAAAATTTTATGAAGTTCGTATTAACCACCAGAGCTGCAGAACACTTTTTTTCCCCCAACATACTTTCACTCTGTGGCTCTTTCACTGGGGTTTCTGGTTGGTGTAATAATCTGTGGGCCGTATTGATTTCCATTGAGACCATGTGCATCATCCAAGGTCCTAAATCCATCATTATACTACACACTGGGTGAGAGACGGAGGCGTGGGGAGTCGTGTGCCTTTGTGTTTTGTGTGTGGGCTCCTGTCCTGTTTGTGGTTCTGTTTTTGTTTGTAGGCGCTGAAAGCTCAGACAGCTCCACATCTGCTGCAGTATCAAAATGTTAAGAGTTTGTACGAAAAAAGAAGAAGTACAGCCAGAGGACTAGAAAAAGTTGACTAACTTTACTCGGAGAGATCCCGTGGGTGTTACATAACAAAGGAACAAATGAAGCAGCACTGCTTTAGTGAAACGCTGTCAGGCACTTTGATAAAATTGGGTTGAAAGTAGCCGACCGAGTTTGGTAGAGGTAATACGCGTACACCAAGAATAATATCTGTTAAGTAGTGTTTCAGTTATTGAAAAAAAAGTTATTAATCTCTAATAGCTCTGGGAAGATGTAGAAGAAGATTTGAAATATAACTTTTTTTAACAAGCTTATATTTGACTGTATTTATTTGTTCATTATGTAACAGTGCAGATATGTGCTGAATTCCTTGCACATTAATTTACATCATCTCTTCTGTATTATTGCTTTCTCCGGTTGCTATGGCAGCAGTGACGTCATGACTTTTTTGGTCATGCTGTGGCTCAGAAAATAGGTTAGTGAGAAAAAAAAAAAACGAACAACTTCCAGCCCAGTCAACAAATTCTGCTCTAATCTGCCTCCTCACTCTCACATCAGCCCGACTGACAGCCAGCTGAAAACTTTTTTAATAGCTTCACCACTTCTCCAAACTCGTCTAAACCTTTTTTACGTCCTAAATCACCAGCTGCTCTGTTTGAGTCTGGCGGTGAAGTCTGCAGGAATTAAACTGCCCTAATGGCCTCCCATTGTGTCCTGGAGCTTTCACCCGCTGTCCATCAGCTGAAAATAAAGCCTGAATGGACAGAGGACGATAACCTGCAGCGCTGGTTTTAAGACTCGAGAGACGATGACAGAAAAGGTGTAGAAGAGGATTAGGAAAAAACAAGTAATTAGCAGTGTTTTACTGTGTCTTGTAGTCTGGTTAATTAGACGTTATTTACACAAGAAAAACTCAACAAGGTAAAAAAAAAAAGTTTTTGAATAATTATCTTGACCAAACAGGCAACAATACGAGCATTTCTTAAGTCTAGATACAATGGAATTGTGGAAGAAATCAGACAATAATTATCTTGACCAAACAGGCAACAATATGAGCATTTCTTAAGTCTAGACACAATGGAATTGTGGAGGAAATCAGACTTAAAACTAGTGCGAGATTTTTTTTTTTTTTTTGTCAGCAGAATCTGTTTAAGAAAATGAACTTATCTTTTGTTTGCATTACTCTGCAGTAAATCACTTTCATCAGCTGTTATAAAAACCTACAGGAGGTTCATGGAGACCTGTGTTCGTTCCTGTTCTATCAGTTGAGGCATTAACGTCACGTTCTAATATTCGTAATATTTCTGCAACAATGGCAGACTTTGGTGGTCATCAATTTTAATTATTATGTCGTAAACATGACAGTTGTTGAGGGAGAAGTGTGTCGGGTTGTGACACATCGGTTTCCCATCATCTCCCTGATTGAGAGAAATTGTTGTTGAACTTTTGCATTGCTCTCCTCCATCTATGCACTCCTTTTCTGCGCCACCCATCACAGTGACTCTGCTGGATGATTTATTACTAAAACCTGTAAAGTATATTGTGCTATCTGCAACAACACAATGAGGCAGCTCTGCCGTAGTTTTGTTTTTTCCTACGTAATAAATCACCTCCTCAGTAGTGGTGCTGCCTCTGAACTAGATCTGACCAACGGTCTATGTAGACTTCATGAATGAGCGACACATAAAGGGCTGCAGCTGTCGTTTGATCTCGTGGACATCAGCTGCCGATGACGGAGTGGGATGAGAACCAACAGTGGTGTGTGATCCTGTTTTTCACACCGCTGTGGACGCTGCCCTGCCAGCGTTTCCTTACTGTGGAACAGTCTGTGAGCCCAGATGGAGGTCGTTTCATTGGGTGATGATTGAGATTTTACCTTAGGCATCAATAGAAGAAATCCTGTTTTTACTAAAATAGAACATAAAGCAGGGATGTCATAAAACAACAATTTCTGTTTTTTTAGATTTTTTTATTCAAAATGTTCTTAGATATAAAGGGATAATGCAAAGTAAATTTTCTTATTTACTGAAACAGGCACCTGGAGGTGTGTGTTGGTGTGGTAGCCTCTGAACATTTCTGTCATCTTTTTCCACATTTTGCTGGTGCAGAGGTCACAGGCCAGGGTTCAGAGGGTTATGTCCCTCCATCCATCCATCCATACAACTGTGTTTGTCAGCTAAAATATAAACTGCAAAAGGATAAATTCTGATCATTAAATGACAAAAATTCAGTGAATCGAGACATTGCTGACACGCTGCAGAAAAGTGATGGGGTTTCACAGAGTCTCTCATCTTTACTGAGTGTGGATATACAGTACAGTACAGTACTTTAGGTTTCAAATTTATAGAGTACTTACTTCAACCATGGTCCCTGTGCTTCTATGGTGAAAGCTGATGGCTGTCCACTCATCCCTGAATGTGGCCGAGAACACTGTGGGTGTCAGATTCTACCAGTCCAAATCACTCAGAACCTCATACACCTTCTTTATTTGTTATTTGTTTGTTTTGGTTCAAAGATGAAATAATTGTACGTTTTTAATAACTTGTAATTTGATCTTGGAAGCGTGAAACTGAAAAATAGTATTTTTATATGCTGTTAGGGCTCAGTGTCGTGATGGTTCTTCTTTTATGACAGAGACTATAATGAAGCTCCTGGCAGTGATTTATTTATTTATTTTTTTGTGAAGCTACATGTTCTCCTCAGTGACTTCGCTCACTTTGTATCAGTGCTGTCATATCACACGGTGGTTTCTCCTTGTTCTTGTAAGGGTGTGTCTATATGATAATGTTACATAAGGTCTTCTGAGCTTCAGTGACAGTGTGCAAATGTGTAGTTTAAGACTTGTATCAGTGCTGTCATATCACACGGTATGTGTAAAAAAATACACATATTTAGGATCACAGATTATGATCTGCCTGTTCAGTGGTTAATCTGTTATTTTAATCAAAGTAAATGTATACGTAAATAAGGAGTTCCCAAATGTCCTGATTTTCTCAGAGGAAAAATATCAGACTTCTTGCCACAGGTTTAGAGCAGAGGAAATTTGGAATGTGGATTTTTTTTTTTTAATTCTTTCACCAAAAGCCGTTCCTGCTCTGTCGGCAGTACAGAGGATCCTGAAATACATGCCTCCATTTCAAACAACTGAAGCAGAACACAGGTAGCTCTCATTGATCTCCCTTCAGCTGAGCCCTCGGAGCGGAGCATATACTGTATATAACAATGAATTATTGATCACTGGTGGTTTTCTGTCTGATTTGTTAGTTCAATTATTTATTTCTATTTTATTAATCTGAATAAAGCAACGCTGCTTCTCTCTGGTTGTGCGACATACGCTTGAAGAAAAAAACATTTATTCCTTTGAAAATAGGAAAAAAAAATATCTGACCTACAGTATTTAGTACCATTTATTAGTAGCAGTTATGGTAGGAATGGCAGTTAAGGGAAGGCAGAGTAGGAATGGATCAAAATACAGTGTAGTACTCATGAAGGGATGAAGACGGATGGACATCTGTGCAGCATTTTTTAAGCTTTTTTTTAATAAAGGCTTTAGTCAAATATTTGGATTGTTGTGTTTGTGACTTCAGAAAATTTAGATTTTTTTTTTTTAGTATTATTATTTTGTTACAGTGTATTAAATACTGCTGTATCTTCTTCCTCCCTCGTCTGCTCTCTTCACCCTGTTGCCTTCTTCCCTTCTCGTCTCTTCGTTACATCGACCATATCCATGCGCATCAATAAAGTGTCCCAGGGATTTTTCCACTTAACCTCCTGCGTGGCAGCTCAAACCCTGTTAAAGCTCCTCAGCCTTGTTAATCTCCAAACTGCTCAACATTAGCTCACCCTTTGATCTTCTCATCCCTGATCTTTTCCACTGCCTGAAGAGATGCCAAACTTATAGGGATGATCACCCCCCCTTCTCTCTCTCTCTCTCTCTCTCTCTCTCTCTCTCTCTCTCTTTCTGTCAGGCGTAGTCTACCCATCAGTCCACCTGTGTACACCTGCACATACATTTCTGTTGGAAATACAATTAAAATTAGGAAGAAGCTTTGCATAATTTTAGAAATGTATCATTTTTGTTCTGTGGAACTCAGCAGGATTATTATTTTTTTCATGTGGTAAGTGTGAGTGTAAATTGCAGTTGTTTTTTAACAATGGTTAGATTGGATTTTTTTATACATATATATGACTTATTATGGTGTGCTTGACATGTGCTTTTAATATAGTACCGTAATTAAAATGTACTATTTAAGAAAATAATATTAGCTTAATATAGTACCGTAATTAAAATGTACCATTTAAGAAGATATTAGAATCTTATTCAGCTCAAAACACATTTTTATACATTTCAATATCATGATGGAGACATCCAGTTCCACATATTAAAAAAAAAGCTTTTACATCTCTGATAATATGTCCACAAATTGTTTAGGACTATGTCTTCATGTTTCAGTGATCAAAGCCTTTTCTGCAAGAATAAAGACTCATTTAAAATAGAAACTGAACTTCAGTACCCTTGATTTTGAATGCAGAGCGATAACAAAAGACAAGCCTCTCTATTCATTAATTCCCCGACACGGATCTATATCCGCAGCAAATTGGACTCTCAGAGACTTTATTTTAATTATTAATTTCCCTCATTTGTCGTCCCACTGCTGATATCACAAGCTCTTTGTTGGTCGCTGACATGTGATCCAGATGATGTGAAGTCGGAGACACTAGATACTCTGGAGACCGGGGGTCTATAGAATCGCTGCATTTGCTGATGTTGATGGTGGGCAGGGAGGGAGGATGGGAGGGAGAGAGAGAGAGAGTGAAAAATCCACAGGTGGTGTTGGGTTGCGGGTTGGTTTCATCCACATGTGGGTCTCACTAAGATAAACGTCAGTACTTATTTCGACAGTTGATATTCTGTCTTCTGAAGCCTGAAGACAAATCAGGGACAATTTCACTTTCCTGACATCTCTTCCTTCCTGTCTGTCATCTTCTCTTTCTTCCACACCAGAGCAGGGAAGGGAGTCTTCTCAGCCATGAAGCTTGGCAAGATCAAGAGCTCCAAAGATGATCACAGGAAAGGTAACGGATCTGAAGCGTTTCATGAAGATTAACTGTGAATTTAAACTCTTCTGGGAGGATTTTTTACAGAATATAATATATATATGTTTAAAATAAGTATTTAAGTTAGAACTGAAATATTAATAATGAAACTTTTTTGCAAATGTCACAAAAAGTCATCATTTGAAATTTCCATATACTGAAATGGGTTAACCTAGCGTTCATTTCCCTCTGCAGATTCAAATCGTATTAAGACGTACTGTCTTGTTGGTGTTCTCCTGCATCATTTGTCTCTGTCAGGATGTTGTCTTCCTGTAATTAACAACATGCACCAGTGTAGATTTAAACAGCTGTTTGTCTTTTTTCTGTCAAGATGAGCCTGCAGTCTTGGACATGGAGGACCTGGACAGGAAGGCGATTCGTCTTGCTGGAACCTTTGAGCCAGACACTGTCTCTCTGGCTTCTGTCACCGCCGTCACCACAAACGTGTCTAATAAAAGGTGAGTTGTTAATTCGTGCACAGAAACAACACCCACGCTGATGGCATTTACACTACATTTGTAATGCATTAATTAAAATGTCAAAACATTTCATTTCTGCAGGTCAAAACCAGACATCAAGATGGAACCGAGTTCGGGGCGACCAGTGGATTATCAGGTGAGTGCATGGACTGTATTCTAGCAGGTTTTCATACATGGTGACTCATGAATCATAGGTGGATCAGGGGGACTGGGTATTACTGCTAATGTTAGTTTTTTTTTTTAGTACTGCAGTAAGTTTGGATATACTGTATTTGTGGATATTTTCCAGCTTTTTAATAATGCACCATAGTTGTGTTTATGTTATTTTTTGGGGAAAATTCCAGGGTATGTTTCCCTTAAATTACCTCCAGATGAAACTATCTGGTATCACTTTTATGCAGAGAGACAATCAATAACACTCTATAAGATTTTTTGCCTTGGATGCTGGGATAGAGCCTGTAGCCAAACAGCCGACCGTCGAGGCAGGGGGCTGCTAAAAACTGCTAGCCTGGCTCTTTGAAAGCAAACACCCTGCAGCTTTTTAACTCAGCTCATAATTCTACTCTTACTCTTTCCAGGCAAATAATTCAGAAAAAAATAATTCAAACACTAAAGCAGCGAGATAAGCACAGATATGCTCATTTACATCTGTAGAAATATTAAATGTCGGTGAGGCTGTAATCGTTTTTAAGAACATAGATGTGTCCGTCAAGTCCTGGCCTGGTTTTTTTTAGTTGCAGACTCATCCACCAGCTAATTGAACCACAGGGACATTGGTGCTGATGCCACATCTTTTGTAGACAATATAAAGCACAAGTGAAATCTAGTAAAAGCAACAAACTGCCCTGAAATCAGCATTGTTTGGAATTGCGAGAGATCTTTTTCCGATTCCCCATGGGACTGTCGAAGCGAAGAGGGTAATTACTTTTTTTTAAAACTCTCGGCCACTGTGTTAACATTTCTCATCAGATCAGCATCACAGTCATCGAGGCCCGGCAACTCATAGGCCTCAACATGGACCCTGTGGTGTGTGTGGAGGTTGGAGATGACAAGAAGTACACGTCCATGAAGGAGTCCACCAACTGTCCCTACTACAATGAGGTGAAATATTTTAATTTGTTTACAATGTGAGAAGGCAATAGAGGCATAATTTAGTAACAAAAAAAATTTTGAGGGGGGAATTGGGTAAATATAAATGACAAAAGACTATAAATTGTTTTTATGCTCACTACAAATCTACAAAAAATGTCCACATCTATCTTTGAGTTTAGAGCAGTTTGCCAATGTTATTTGACTGTTAATAAAAAAGCTGAAAATCCATAGTGGGTTGCTAACCTTGATTTTTTTTTTTGCCTTTAGTTAGCCTTAGGGTTGTTTTTTTCTTTGGTCTATTATCATACAAAAAAGACTGATGTCTCATGTGGCGTATTTGTTAAAAACAAATGACTCAGTTTTTCATCAGTGCCTCGGATCCTCAGGTGAACTCTGTAGTATGTGTGTGTGTGTGTGTGTGTGTGGAACAATTGTTTTAGCATTTCTCCTATTCCCTGAGCAGGTCGTAAAGATGAATGTGTTTTCAATCGCAGTGTGTGTTACCACTTTTTAATGTTAGAAAACTTTTCCTTCAATCGTTGCAGTATTTCGTCTTTGACTTCCACGTCCCTCCTCACGTCATGTTCGACAAGATCATCAAACTTTCAGTAAGTGGTGTGAAAACGTTGTGAATATTGTATTAGTGAAGAATCACACCTGAGCAGTTGAAAAGTGTTGTGTGTAATAATGTGCAGAGTAGAGGAGGATTAAATATCCCCCGGGATTAAGTCATAAAAGTCATTACTTTAATGAGATTAAACGATGATTCCTCACCGCTTATGAAGAGAGTATTAAAAAAAACAGTCTTTTCTCATCATGTAAATTGTTACCTGTGATTTATAATAATAATGAGTATACATTTTGTTTATATATTTTTTTGTCGTTGCCAATGTGCATGTCAGGTGATTCACTCAAAAAACCTTCTCCGAAGTGGAACCTTGGTGGGAACTTTCAAGATGGACGTCGGAACTGTTTATTCTCAACCTGGTAAAGCTATTTCACGTGGAAATAAGTTCAATTAATGATTGGATAACTTGGGTTATTTTCTGTCATTCTATTGTCTATTCAACTCTGTAAATCAGTTCAACATCAAGTCAAAATTTATTGGCAAGGGCAGTAATTTAATTTAAAGGCATTCAACCCCAAGGGTGTTTTAACCACCATCAAGTTCGTCTGTGTTGATGTTGTTTTGTAAATTTTTAACAGAACATCAATTCTACCACAAGTGGGCCATACTGTCTGACCCAAATGACATCACAGCTGGGTGCAAAGGTTACATTAAATGTGACATTGCCGTGGTGGGTAAAGGAGACAACATCAAGACACCACACAAGGCCAACGAGAGTATGTAGGACGACGTAGAGGGGTACGTGACTCTCAGTCGTCAGAGCTTGGATTTCAAGATGTTTTTAACGATTGATGTTGTTTCCAGCCAGATCCTAGAATATATATACCACAATATTTTAAAAGTGAAAGTTAACACACAATCATATGATGAATTAGGACAACATGTCTTGAAATTCTGAACAGCAGGGGCAGCACATTTATTAAGTTTTTTTTTTTTTATGAAAGTCTTTGCCTTTGCCTGTTGTCCAGGAACCTCCTGCTCCCAGAGGGCATACCTGCGGAGAGGCAGTGGGCGAGGTTTTACGTGAAGATCTACCGAGCTGAAGGACTTCCTAAAATGAACACCAGCATAATGGCTAACGTGAAGAAGGCCATCATAGGAGAGAACAGAGACCTGGTGGACCCCTATGTCCAGGTGCAGTTTGGCGGGCAGAAAGTAAGTCCCACTGCATCCGCACACATTTATGTGTCTACTAAACAGTAATAGTCCCTCGGTTACTGCACATAACAGTACCCACAAATGGTTATGTTGGCCATTAAAAACAAAGACTAGCAGTTAGTTTTAATAATTTAAAATGTTTTTATTTATGTCTTAAATTATTCAGAACATTTCTGACTCCAGCGCTTTTATAAATGTATATATCCATCCTACATGTTAGGTTGTAAATGTAGCATTTACTGCAGTTAGTCAGTTGAAGGCTTATCAGGGTAGCAAAATGTGTAAACTTTACCTAAAATAAATCAAGGAAAAACAAACAAGGAACATGTTAAAAAAAAGGTGGGTCAAAATTATAATATAGCAAGAAAGCAAAAGGCTAATGACTATTAAAATGGCACAAGCATTTTAAACACAAACGTGTGATGTCAAAGCTTGGGATCATGGTCAATTATTATAAAAGTGTAGTAAATTTCAAGTGCCAGCACTGACCCCAGTATGAACCCTGGCTGGCCTTAAGGATTTCACAATAAATCCTGAGTCTCTGACTCTCAAAATCTCTCTGGTTCTGCTGCAGGTCAGGGGAAACTTTTGTTTACTTTTTCTGAAATTAACAGCACTATAAATACCTGGAGACATATGCCATCAGTGCAACATGTATTGTTGTTTCCCAGCGTTCTGAGACCATTGTTGTCCCTCCATGTGTCTCCAGGGGAAGACCTCGGTCCAGAGGAGCAGTTATGAACCAATCTGGAACGAGCAGGTCATTTTCACAGAACTCTTTCCTCCACTCTGCAAACGCCTGAAGATCCAGATACGGGACTCTGACAAGGTCAATGATGTTGCCATAGGAACACACTTTATTGACTTGCGCAAGATCTCCAACGAAGGCGATAAAGGTAGATCAGAACATGCCAAGCAGCAGCTGAGGAGCAGTTTGTCTTGTGTGAATTGATTAGCCATCAGCTACATGAATTAGCTGCCTTGTTAATATTTTACTTTGTGTTGTAATTAGCTGAACCAAATTGTGAACCAGACCTTTTGACCTGGTTTGACCCTCTGCTAATGGCTGTGTAAATGGAATGCATGACTTTTAGAATGTCCTCAGATCAATACATACATTAGCATTTATTAAACCATGTGTTGCATTGAGTTGGTTTTGTGTGACTTTCAGGAAACTTCCCACAATATTTCATATTTTTGATGCATTTCACAGGTTTCGTATCAGATTTCAATCTAGCTGAGGAATACCAGTGATGCATTGACTGTCCCACTGAGTCTCAATTTATTATGAAAGACAATAATTGGAATATAATTGCTTCAATAATTATAATAACTCATTAAACTTATTAATTAAACTGTGATGGATTTAAATGAAGTGGCTCATTTATCAGATGTTATGCTTAAGTTTCAGGATTTTTATTGAATTGTTTTAACAAAATTTGCTGTATTCCCAGGTTTCCTGCCAACCTTTGGCCCAGCCTGGGTCAACATGTACGGCTCCACTCGTCAGTACACTCTGATGGACGAGCACCAGGACCTGAACGATGGACTTGGAGAAGGTGTTTCATTCAGGGCTCGTCTCCTCCTCTCTGTTGCCGTGGAGATCCTCGACACTACTTCACCTGAGATCCACAGCTCCACTGAGGTTCAAGTGGAGATGGTTTCCAACATCTCAGAGGTCAGAAGAACTTACTGCTGAAATGACTTTATTTATTTTTCAATTAACCTTGATGATGATGTTGTTATAAAATAACTCTTACCTTGACCGTTGATCCTTGTAAACAGAGTTGTTTGACCTCTTTGCACTTGGTGACCCTACACTAAGCACATTATTGGCACATGTGTAGTTGACTGCACACCAGGGAAATTACAGATATCAGATGTTTTGCTTCAGGGCAAGTTCTCTAGCTTTTTAACCTTCAGGCTTCAATAGTTTAAATCTCTGTCCTGGGTCTTTATGACTTCATAAAGGAGAAACAAATCTTTAAATAAATCAGTGGGGGCAGTAAAGGAGGGTGATTTAGCAGTTGCACAAACTGCATATTCTGTACATCAGACATGAGAAGGAACCAAGTGTAAACAGGTTAAGGTTCAAAGTACTTTGTTTTTCTTTAGTTCTTTAGTTTGTTATAAAAAAGTGACCTAGTAGATTCATATCAACTAATTGCTTCAGTAATTCAGAGTAAAGACAGGCTGGATGTTATAGGTTTTACACAAACGGCTCTTTCTTCAGGTTTTATTCCACAATGGTCGATTAAAAAGCAGTGCTTTGTCGACAGTAAGATGTTGTTTTTTAACAATCTTCCTTCACACTCTTAGAGCTCGACTGGTAAAATAGAAGAGTTCTTCCTCTTCGGTTCATTTCTGGAGGCCACCATGATCGACAGAAGAATTGGTGACAAAGCAATAAGTTTTGAAGTCACAATAGGTAAATGACACTCTTCCAACCAAGTGAAGCTCCGGCAGGTGAACAAAAATCTGTGGTAACTAAAATCACACTCATTCTAAATGTGCAACAGGTAACTATGGCAACCAGATAGATGGCGTCAACAAGCCGTCGTCATCCAGAAAGAAGAAAAAAGACGGCGATAGTGAAGAGGAGGAGAGCGAGCTCATCCACAACTCCAGCGAGGATGAGGCAGACGAGGACGCTGACCTGATCTCTGTGTCGTCCACTCCTGTCATGAAGCCCGTCGTTACAGACAGGTGCGAAGTCATCTGCACATTTTTATTGAACAATAGACGAATTATCAATAGAATTAAATTTTAGAATTAGATTTGTGGAACCGTTTTTTAATGACCACAAATGGAGCAGTTAACAGGAACCAACAAGGACACAACTTACAAGAAATAATTACCTCTATTAAAAAAAACAAACAATTATACAATCTAGTACATGATGTAAAGTGAACACTGTTTTGTAGAGTGAATATTTAGTTTAACGACTCCCAGCGGGTTTCAGGCTTTTATTTTGTATTTGTTTTGAAACAGAAATTACTTCCATCTCCCTTACTTTGAAAAGAAGCCGTGCATCTACATCAAGAGCTGGTGGCAGGACCAACGACGAAGACTGTACAACTCCAACATGATGGATAAGATTGCTGACAAGCTGGTCAGTTTAAACATCTGCGTATTACACATGCAGTGCATTGGCCTGGGCAAAACATACGACAACATTCAAATATATATAGTAAATAAGATATAAAGTAAATAAGTTCAGGCGCAAACAATCTGCTCCACGTTATGTGTTTGTTTGTGTCCCTGCAGGAAGAAGGTTTGAATGACGTGCAGGAAATCATTAAGACAGAAAAGGCTTTCCCTGAGCGCAGGCTGCGGGGCGTGCTGGAGGAGCTGAGTGTTGGCTGCAGGCAAGATACAGTACACAGTTATATTCAGTACTCAAGCTCCTGTCTCAACATGCAGTTTCTCCTCTCACAGTGTGAGTTGCACATCACCATCAGGTGTTTTACCGTGACGTTACGCTGCCTTCTGCGGTCGATTTAACAGAGACCTTGGCAGTTCTCTGTTCAAAAGCAGTTGTCATGGTGAAAGAAAACAGTAGCGTCATTTTACTCCTGTTTTGCAGAAATTTTTCTATATAACTCACAGATTAATTGCACAGTGTCAGTGTCCATGTTACTTGTAAGAGAAGTCACCAACTATATTTGTCGGAGGGCCAGAATATTTTTGGGCAGCACCTTTCATCCAATCACGCCCCAGCATGCTGATGTTTTTTCTGTTTCACATTTGGTGTTATTGTGTATCAACGACCAATCAGCTGCTGACAATAGTTAATGGTTTGTTTTCGGCATTGGTTAAACTTTTATATTGGTTTTTAATTTTGCATTTGCCTGATTTTCCTTCACAACATTATTATTCCATCAGTGTAGACCAGTTTCTCTACAACACCAGCTGAAGTGCAGCCTAAAACTGTTAACAGAGGCTCTTACAGTACAGGCTTCACTAGAAGCTTTAAATAGACAAATAGGAGAGAGCAGTGGCTGAACAGAAACAGAGAAAATACACCGAAAATGAACAAATATATTCAGGGAAACGTCTTCTAAGACTGACTATTAATGAGTAGTCCATTTAAAAAAGACATTTTTTAAAACTACGATAAGTGTTTATTTTCAATGATGTTCATATTTTATTGTTGTGTTTATTTCATTTTTCTGTCATTTGTAGCCGCTTTGTGACATTGGCTAATAAGGATTTGAACCAAGCAGGCAGAACCAGACTGGATCGAGAACGACTCAGGTCCTGCATGAGGGAGATGGTAGGATTTTGTTTCTTTTCACAGGCTGAAAAACATGGACAAAAGGCTAAAGGTTGACAAGAGCTGCTCAAATTGTATACTCTTGTTCACTCAGTTTCATACACGTTCCGAGTGGAGATTCAGAGTGAATGAAAAGGTTTGATTTGAGAAATATTTAATGGATTTGTACAGTGTCGACTAGGGGAATAAACTCTGCCAACTGCAAAGATGGGGGGGTTTAAAAACAAATCCTATTGCATCACACTCTGTAGCAGTTGAAGCTTTGCAGGAATACCCAAAAACACAAATTGGCTTCTGGGAACAAGAAGATTTATTATAGCAGTGGCTGGTTTGACAGCAGGTACAGTAAATAGAAAGTAAACAGTATGTTTAAGGTGAAGGTGCCCCTGTGAAGGAACCAAACCTCACCTTCACTAACGTCTGCTCCTGCAGGACAGCATGAGTCAGCAGGCCAAGCAGATTCGAACTCAGGTGAAGAAGAACACGGTCAGAGACAAACTGAAGCTGGCACAGAACTTCCTGCAGAAGCTTCGTTTCCTGGCCGATGAGGTGCACACATCCACAATTCTCTGCTCCAATGTTAACACAGGCTAGGAGTCTATGCTCGTGCTGACATAATGAGTTTGTGACATCTTGTCCAGCCTCAGCACAGCATCCCAGATGTTTTCATCTGGATGATGAGCAACAACAAGCGCGTAGCTTACGCCCGGGTCCCCTCTAAAGACATCCTGTACTCCATCGTGGACGAGGAAACGGGGAAAGACTGCAGTAAAGTCCAAGCTGTCTTTCTCAAGGTACGACTCAATTTATCTCCTCATATTAAACGAATTTTGTAATCACTGATCAGAGCTGAAACTTTTTAATAACACAGTCAGACTAACTTAGAATCGTGAGACACCAGTACTGCAGAAAAGTCATATGACGAGGTCAGTATTGACCAGTATTATCCAGTGCTTTACAGGGTTGTAAATCAGTGGCAGTTCTCAAGAGAAGTGTGTGGAAATCAATGTTGATATTAATATTTATAGATTGGGCTTTAGGCTGTAATACAGTGCTGTCTTGAAAGTTTAATGAAATGCTGTGGTAATAACATCAGAGAGGACATAAAGGTCTGCATTGAATTCAACCAGTATATGAATAGACCTGATAATCACCCCTCTGTGTCTACAGCTGCCGGGTAAGAAGGGCTTTGGTCCTGCAGGCTGGACTGTTCAGGCAAAGCTGGAACTGTATTTGTGGCTGGGCCTCAACAAGCAGAAGAAAGACTTCCTCAGCGGTCTGCCCAATGGATTTGAAGAGATTAAAACTGCTAAAATAGGTCCAGGTCTTCAGTCTGTGCCACCTGTCAGCCTCATTTACAACAGTAAGTGCAGCAAACACCAGAAAGAAGTTGAGGCCAAAACCTGCTTTATACACTGGACATACAGAGGGTTAAATACAGAGGGTGGGGATGCTCATTCACAGCAAAAGGGTAACAAACGTCAAGGAAAACTAAAAACCGTTGCATATGAATGCACGTCAGAGGAAAGCAGTGAATAAGTGTAGGTAACAAATGAAGTTATCTGATATAGAGGCATAAACGATGATGATTAAATGTATTATATTAGTGTTTAGGTAATTATTCAGCAGGTTGGTATGAATAAATTCTTCTCTCAAGTTCTTAATAAAGATAATCAAATAGAGCTGGGGAGTGAAGAGATGAGAAGGGCTGCGTTGGACCAAAGGTCATAGAGAGAGCAGGACAGAAAGACAGAAAATCTGTGAGTGTATAATAGTTACCCAGAGGAAAGGTAAAGATGTAAGATGTAGTGAAGGCAGGAGGGTTTTGTTTTTCTCTAGAGCCAACCATGTGAAGCAATGACACAGAAGAGATAACGGCAGGGACGAGTCGGTAAATACAGTGTGTCAGGAGTGATGAAGATAGATAGACAGAGTAAAATAAAACATTTATAAGACTGTCGTGAGGTTCTGTGGAGGATGAGGACGGAAAAGACTGTGCTCTAGTACCAATCTTTAAGAACGGCTTCTACAGCAACTATGAAGATGAACATTTTCAAAGCTGTGAATCACAGATAATCAAAGATGAACATTTTCAAAGCTGTGAATCACAGAAGCGAAAGAGAATTACAAACAGTACTTTGGCTGTTTAACATGACGAAAATACTACTACAAATGTGTACTACAAAGGTCAAGGTGATCATAATACACATATTATTTGTAGCTTGAAGAGAAACATTTCTAGGTTGAGAGATAAAAGCTTCAGCCGAGATGAAAATGTGTCTTTCTTTATTGCGTCAAACAACTGTCTTGATTGTAATTTAAATATCAAACCTGCAGCCAATCACAGTTTGTTTTTGTTTATTAACTATCTGATTCAAATATAAGATTCATCAGTGCTGAAATTAGATTTTGATTGAGAAAATTGTTGATGGGTTGTTAATGTGAGTGTGTGTGTCCAACAGTGAAGCAGGTGTTTCAGCTGCGAGCACACATGTACCAGGCCCGCAGTCTGTTTGCCGCTGACAGCAGTGGCCTTTCAGATCCCTTCGCTCGGGTTTTCTTCTCCACACACAGCCAGGTCACTGAGGTGAGGTCGATAAGCGTGCGCTGATGACGGTCAGTGACAGCCAGCAACGAACTGGAGGTGTGTTCATATCGGTTTTGTGTCATCCGCAGGTCCTGAGTGAGACTCTGTGCCCCACGTGGGACCAACTGCTGGTGTTCGATGATGTGGAGTTGTTTGGCGAGGCCAGTGAGCTGAGGGACGACCCGCCTATCATCGTGGTTGAGTTCTATGACCAGGACACTGTGGTAGGAACCTGTGCTTTATAAATGAATGGATGTATTCAAGTTTCAACATTTGCTCCGAAAATAATCTAAAAGCCCTTCTCCGTCCCTCATGTCCTGTCCACCTCTGTCTCACTCACTCACATTAACTGTGCCCTTATTTGTGCTTTGTCCTTCTGGCTAATTAGAGTATGAAGTCTTGAGTAATTTAATGCCTCAACAAATGGAGAAGTTGTAATAGTTATGGCCGACATCCAGAGCATAACGTCTGGTTGATGCAGCTGATAATGAGCTCTGAGAGAGAGAGAAAAACTTTCAGGCACAAGTTAAACCTCAGCTGCAGCATTTAGAAATGAAAATGAAGACTTAAACATCAGACTTGATCAAAAAAGGAAAAAAAACTTCCTTTGAATTTATTTCAAATATTCTCAAGTCCTAAATGTTTTTACTTTGCACCAGCTCCTCCTTTACACGTGTTCACTTTGAGCAACACTGACACCACGTGGCTCTTCTGTGAACTTCTCCTGTCACGTTCGCGCCTAACTCCCTTCCCTTCTTCCCTCTGACTGTTTCAACTGTCACACTGTGGTGTCCAGGGTAAGGCAGAGTTCATAGGTAGGACATTTGCCAAGCCCACCATCAAGATGTGCGCCGAGCATTACGGCCCCCCCAGGTTCCCACCACAACTGGAGTACTATCAGATTTACAGAGGGAACTGCACTGCCGGGGAGCTGCTGGCCGCCTTCGAACTGCTGCAGGTACAAACATTGAGTGTCATCTTTTCATGTTCATACTGTTTTTTAATTATTTGATTTATGAAAATATTTAAAATCCCATCAGATAAATATGAAAAGTTTGGAATTCAAATACAAGTCCAGGTTAGAAAGGTGTAAAAAGAAATTGAGAAAAATTTTATTTATGATAATAATAACTGTTTCACTTCGTGAAATTCCAGAAAGGTGTAAAAAGAAATTGAGAAAATTTTTATTTATGAAAATAACTGTTTCACTTCTTGAAATTCTTTTTATGTGTTTCTTCTATTTTGTAGAAAGAAAAGAATCAGATGGAGACAGATCTAAAGCTAGAGCAAGGCTTGAATAATTTAAACAGGTTTCCATTCAAGATTGATTAAAAAAAAGTGATATTTGCTCAAGTTTAAAATGTATGTTTACTTTCTGGGATTGTTTATACTGTACATATATTTACTCATCTTTTACCAAGAATGTGAAAAACATTCTCTAGTGTTTCCTCAACATTTGTAATTCCTTTCGTGCTCTATGCCTGTTTTTAAATTCCATTTTCTCTCTCACCATTGCAAAATAAATCTTCCTGTTACATTTCATCTTTCCCAGTGGAATTTCTCGGGGTCACCCTTTCGTTTTTATTTTTCTCCTGTTTCATTTCTTACTGCTTCATCATCATTTAATTTTTCATTTTTCTCCTCTCTTACTGCTTCATCATCATTTAATTTTCCATTTTTCTCTTCCTCCTCCTGCTTCCTGCAGATTCCTTTTGATGGAGAGGAGATTAGGCGAGCTCTGATCGCCGTCCATAGTTTTGCAGTACCTCAAATCAAGGTGCTCTTTTCATCCTCTTTTCCCTCCACTGTCTTACTCTGTAGCTACGGGGTCAACTGTCTGACATTAGCTCTCAGTTTCTCTGTCGTTCTTGAGATATTTTGATCTTTTCTGTTGGAGTTTTTACTTTTTTTAACTTTCACCTTACAGATCGGCCAAGGAGGCAGAGCAGAACTTCCTCCTCTTGAGGCTCCCACAGACTCTGAGCAAGGTCCCATTCTTCCTGTACCACTGGGCATCCGACCTGTCCTTAGTCGCTACCGCATTGAGGTGATTTGTTTTTGTGTTTTTTTATTTATTTTTTATTTAATCCACATCTGTGTTTTCACTACTTAAAGCCATCTTTAAACCCTGCTGCCTCCAGGTCTTGTTTTGGGGACTAAGGGACCTGAAGAGGATTAACTTAGCTCAGGTGGACCGACCACGTGTGGATATAGAGTGTGCAGGGAGAGGCGTCCAGTCAGTGCTCATCCAGAACTACAAGAAGAACCCGAACTTCAGCACCTTGGTGAAATGGTTCGAAGTAGTGAGTACCGCGGTTTACTTCATCTAAAAACCTTGAGTAAACAGTTGTTTCTTTACTTTAATTGTAGTTATTTTTTTTCCTTAGGATTTGCCAGAAAATGAACTCCTCCATCCTCCTCTCAACATCCGGGTCGTGGACTGTAGAGCGTTCGGCCGCTACATCCTTGTGGGATCGCACGCCGTCTCGAGCTTGAGGCGGTTTATCTACAGCACCCCAGACAAGAAATCTGACAACTGGGCCACTGCAGGTGAAGAAGGGATTTATTTTCAAAATATTAGTAAAGGAACTCTTTATCTTTAAACTACAGCTCATTTCTGAACTTAGTCTTTCTTTTCGAAGATGAAAACAAAAGAAATGTCAACCAGAGATTTACGCAAAAGTAAAGTTTTTTTTGGCCTTACATTGATTCATTATACCATATTGATCAATGCAAGGGCCAGTTCTTTTAGGGTGTTCTAAATAAATATACTTTTTAAAAACTTTTTTATGATTTGGAAACAGCTCACCAAACACAAGCTGCAGAAAATTTGCTCATTTTTGGACTTAATTAAACCTTTTAAAAATGCCAGCAGGATAAGCTGCAGATTTATGAAATGTCAAGGGAAGGCAAAAATTAATTTTCACTTAATTAAAAGGATTTCAATTCAATATTTCTGATCTGGCTCTCTGCTCCCTGAAATGATTTGAATTTTTGATTAATTTTGCTGAATTCTCTGCTTGCTTTTCAACTTTCCCGGTCTCCACCCTTCATACATCTTCTCTTTTTTTTTCTCTGTTGCATGTCCTCGACTTTCCGCTCTTCACCTCCTTCCTCCTGCTGCTGTCTCCTCCCTTTGGCGCTGATCCAGCTAAGCTAATGAATGGCTACATGGTCCTCACAAACGGGGGCTCCCAGCCTCGCTCCTCACCCAGCCTTTCCTCCCGCACCCTCTCTCGCTCCGCAGGTGACATCTTTGTGAACATGGATGCAGAGCCCCAGGTCCGAAAGATGGACACGGTTGTCAAGTTAGACGCTGTAAGAATGTCTTTCAAGTTTCCTTCCCTCTTGTAGTGAACTGCGTGTCAGATGTAAACGTTGGCTGAGGCAGCAGCACAGTTTTATATTCTATCCTTTAAATGTGCAGCTCCTACTGTTTGTGCATCAACCACTGTGTGCATTAACCCCTGTGCTGTTCTGTCAAACCTCCCCTGCTGTAGATGTCAGACGCTGTAGTAAAGGTTGACATGGTGAGTAAACAGAGTTTAGCAAAAGAAAGCTTTGTTGTACAGAGTCCTGGTGTGATAAAAACAAACAAAAAAACAAACTAAGGCTGGCCACAGCTACACAACTGATGTTTCTGAGACTCTGTTTGAACAGACCGAGGAGGAGAGCGAGAAAAAGAAGAAGAAGAAGAAAAAGAAAGGAGGCGTTGACGAAGAAGAGGACATAAATGAACGAGTCCTGGACTGGTGGTCCAAGTATTTCGCGTCAATAGATACGTTAAAGGAGGTTAATTCCATCAAGTGACCATTTAAGATTCACCTTACTGAGAAAATCCTCTGAAAGTAACACTTTATTTATGTATTTATTTTTGTCCAGAAACTCAGAGCTCAGGAAGCAGCTCAGGCCGAGGCAGAGGAAAAGGAAGACCTGGAGATAGCAGCAGAGGCCGCAGGTACTGAGTGTCAGGCAGTGTGAACACATAGCTACCTATGTTTGTTTTTTTTGTTTTTTTTTTCCAAATTGCTTATTATAAAGAATCTCCTGTGTCATGGCAAGTACTTTGTTAGTAATAGTAGTAATACTTTTTTTTTATAAACCTTTTACAATAAGTCATCTAGTCATTACTGTATAAATGATTCAGTTGTTTGCTGATTTGTGCTGTGGCTCTGTGTGAAATATTCAGACAGGGGGTTTGGCATGTGCCCCCTGGTGCTGGTTCTCGTCATCCTTCCTATCGTTCCATCATTTATTCATGCTGTGAATAAAAGTGTACTGTCCACTCCCTCTTATCACATTCATGAAAATGTCCCGCAACATCATCAACTTCCTGCTCGTTAGTGCACATGAAAGCTGGGTTCATCAGAATCACCTGCTTCACACACAGTGACGACACACTGTTACGAACTCTTCTTAGATAAAAACAGAAAAACTGTTGTTTGTATTTTCCATCATGGTGAAATGTGGCATTGATGAAATCGTAGATGGCTAGGAAATTATCTTACCCACTAGTGTCAAGAAAAAAAAAACAATTTTTGAGACTATGGGAGAATATTAAAATGGAGACTATTTTATTTATTTTCAAAAGGCTCAACATATCATCACAAATGCTATGAAACATGAGCTGGTTCCTCACGAACAGCTCTGTTCTTAATCACTTATGATGGCATTAAACAATACAAAAATGTATTTATGGGGAAACATATACATGTAGATACATACAGTAAATACGTAGTGACATAGTGTGTGCTTTGTATGTGATAGAAAAAAATACTTAAATTTCTCTAACTAAAAAGTTCAGCATCGATCTGTGTCAAACAGCTTTCATGTTATGTGATGTGTGCTGTGTTGTGTGCAACCCCACCTCCCATCTTCATGACCCCTGTGTCCACCTTCACTCATCCACGGAGTCAGACATCAAACCTGATGACCTTCTTCTGAAAGGCTCCAAGACCAAAGAAAAGAGCCGAGACAAGAAGAGCTCCAAAGACAAGAAGAAGAGTCAGGCTGTAAATGGCGCCGAGAAACAGCCGGTCAAAGCCAGGGTGGATGAGCTGGTGGTGAGTATCTGTCACGCTTGGACAGACGTGACGTAGCCATGCCTCGATGGGCAAAAACCTTAGAATGGTTTGAACTCTTTTGAAGGTGTACAACAAGGAACTGGAGACTGAGTATGGGAACTTCGAAGACTGGCTTCACACGTTCAACCTGTACAGAGGGAAGGCTGGAGACGATGACGAACGCGCTCTGGATGACGACAGGATTGTCGGCCGGTTCAAGGTGTGAAAACAGCCTGAAACCAAAAACAACTCCACTCTGACACTAACTGAACACTAAAAATAGGAACATAACTGTATACTTTCCTCCAACACAGGGTTCCTTATGTATGTACAAACTGCCACTGTCTGAGGAGGTCACCAGAGAGTCCGGGTTTGATCCAAATATGGGCATGTTCCAGAACATTCCACATAATGATCCAATCAATGTTCTGGTCCGTGTTTATGTGGTCAGGGTGAGGAAGTACACCATCCCAGGAGAACACAACAACCACACATGAATATTTGAAATCAAGTCACTTTAGAGGAAATCTGATTGTTCCTTCTATGTTTTCATTCTTTCTTTTTTTTATTTCTGCTTTCTTTCTTTTTTTCTTTTTTTAATTCCTATTTTCAGGCCACAGACCTTCACCCCGCTGATATCAATGGGAAGGCTGATCCATACGTTGTCATCAAGCTGGGAAAGTCCGAGGTGAAAGACAAGGAAAACTACATCTCCAAACAGCTCAATCCTGTATTTGGAAAGTACGTTAAAGTCGAATCTTGTATCGAAGAAAATGATTGTTAAGATCACCCTTTGATTCACCCATTTCCATCACATCCACTCAGATCATTTGACATTGAGGCCACTTTCCCCATGGAGTCAATGCTGATGGTGTCCGTGTACGACTGGGACTTGGTCGGCACTGATGACCTGATCGGCGAGACGAAAATTGACCTGGAGAATCGATTTTACAGCAAATACAGAGCCACCTGTGGTATCTCAGCCAATTACTCAGTGTGAGCATCAAATAGGTTTCATTTTTTATTATTTTTCAAATTGTACAACTCACATACAGTGTTATTGAGTATATGATTGGAATATACACTCCATGATTACACATGGTAGTCATTTGTTACCACGAAAACTAAGGAACTACTTTTCCATCTGTTGTTTTTTTTAGCCATGGATATAATGTGTGGCGAGACCCCATGAAGCCCAGTCAGATCCTGGCAAAGCTCTGTAAAGACGGCAAGATCGATGGACCTCATTATGGGCCTGGAGGAAAAGTCAAGGTGGCAAATCGAATCTTCCTGGGACAGACGGAGTTAGAGGATGAGAACGGTACAACTGCACTTTCTATGCAGGTTCTGAGGTTATTTGTAGATCCTTAAGTGGTCAATGTTGCAGAATCCAAAATGAATGATTTTGTTTGTAAAGCCCTAAGAATCATTTTAAGAAAATAACCTCCAGTCGTTTTAGGTTGAGGTAGGTACATGATGCTAGGGTCATCAGCAGGAGGGCTGCCCTCTGTCTGTTATTGTTCTTGTTCACCAGATAAAATTACACCCAGATGGTGGTTGTAATGCAGATCTAAACAAAAACCAAAAAAAACACAGAAGAAGAAGTGGGGTGAATGGGTTCAATGGGGTTAGCTTAGCATAGTTAAGTGACAAATGTACATCATTTCTAAATAAAGCTATGTTGTTTTTTTTGGCAGAATGCAACTCCATCTTCAGATTTACATGTTTGATGAAAAGAGCTTTTTGTCTCCCTCTGTTCTACGTCTCGATTCCCTGACGGTGTTTCAGGTTTGAAGAAGCAGACTGAGGAACATTTGGCTCTGACGGCACTGAACCACTGGGAGGAGATACCCAGAGTGGGCTGCAAGCTTGTCCCTGAACACGTAGAGACCAGACCTCTGCTGACCCCTGACAAGCCGGGCATCGAACAGGTAGGAGGGCGCCCCCACCTGTTCAGACCTTAATGTTTAACACTTGACATGTCATGGTTATTGATTAAATGATGCTGTTTTCCTTTCTAATTCCGAAGGGTCGCATTGAGATGTGGGTCGATATGTTTCCTATGGACATGGCAGCTCCTGGACCTGCTCTTGACATTTCACCACGAAAACCAAAGAGGTACATCTGAAGCATGTGGGAGGTGGAGAAATGAGAGAGATGGGAAGTGTATTAATGTCTGCGAAAGTTAAATTTTCAGATTTTGTAGTTAAAACCCTGAAGGTTAAATTATGGTGAGTCTGTTTTTTTTACCAGTCGGCGCTCCATTTACTGCCACCTATAAGTCCAGCTATGTTTGTATGTTCCTTCCTCCTCCTCCTCACCAGATATGAACTCAGGGTGATAATTTGGAATACAGACGAAGTAATACTGGAGGACGATGATTACTTCACTGGGGAAAAGTCCAGTGACATATTTGTCAGGGGGTAGGTACGGCGGGCTGCGGCCGTGTGTGGATGTGTTTTGCAGTTAACCATTCTTTTGTTTTTGTTTCCATTTTTCCTGTGTTTGTATGTGTGTATCGTGCGTCGCGTCTGTTTTTTTGTGTTTGTGGCGTGTCTCCTGTTTCTCTCTCTCTCTCTCTCTCTTTCTGTGTCCTCTTCTTTCTCTCTCTCTGTCTCCCTCTCTTCTCTGGTCAATGCTCTGCTGATGTCCAGCTTTGAGCTTCGTGTAATTATTTGGAACACTGATGACGTAATTCTAGAAGACGATGCTTTCATGACAGGAGAGAAGATGTCTGACATCTATGTCAGGGGGTAAACACGCGATCCCATCGCATGGCTCGTGCAACTACCTCCCTTCTTTCCTCCCCCCCAAACACCATTCACTCCCTCCCTCCTCATCTTTTCCATTTATAGTTTATGTCCGTCCCTCACACTGTCTTATCAGCACGCTGTAAATTAATGCTCCTTCCAAAAAACCATTAAAGAATTTAATAGGAAATTTGCAGCTTTTCAAAGAACTCATCATAATGATTAACAAACACAAATCAGAGTGCAGAACTTAACACAGCCAGCAGATAAGGAGGAACCATTTTTATGTCGTTTTAATTTGGTTTTCATTTATCCTCTTATTGCAATGAATTTATTATACTATAAAACCATATATTATGTAGATAACTATATTATATTTATATATATTATAATTACATTAAATGGAAAGAACTACTATTCCGTTGTAACAAATCATTGTAATAAATGACGTTCATGCAGTTCATGTGCTTCATGTTTGTACTGCATCACAAAATTCAACTAAGATTTTATGAGTATAATATTAAAAAAAAAAAAAAAACAGAGCATGAAAGTACACTGTATGTGCAAATGTCTGAATGTCAGCATGGTTGTCTTCACACCAGAGCACCAGTGATTTGGATACACAGTGTGACTCTTGCTGCCTCAGGGTTTCACACCAACACACAAGGTCCCATCCTCAAACATCCTCTGAAGTTTCAGACAATCAGTATATCATTTTATACTGTATCTGAAGAACTGAGGCTCAGTAATAAAGAAAGGCTCAGGCTAACTCCATCTCCTGATCCCTTGATCCTCTGCTTTTTGCATCCAGACACTAAAATAATTATGACCTTTGCATGTCTGTGAGAACAGTGTGACCCTCCATCATTTTAATGAATCATTTTAAATAGACAGATGTATTAAAGTGATTGGCTTGTGGGGAGTCACATGATGTGATTTGATTTCAACACATTTGCATCATCTCTCTTGTTCCCAGTTCTTATAAACCCACTCTGTCCCTGAGAGTTAAATTAACCAAATTAATACACAGCAAGTGGCAGACCAGTGCAAGTTCCTTCATTAACATCATTAAGAGTGCATGACCAAACAAATACTATATGGTCAGCTGTGACGGTGAAGGTCATCTCTGACCACTGTGACTCTGACCTGCCTCTCAGGTGGCTGAAAGGACAGCAGGAGGACAAGCAGGACACGGACGTGCACTATCACTCGCTGACTGGTGAAGGAAACTTCAACTGGCGTTTCGTCTTCCCTTTTGATTACCTCATGGCCGAGGAGAAGATCGTCATCTCCAAAAAAGAGTCCATGTTCTCCTGGGACGAGACTGAATATAAGATCCCACCTCGTCTCACGCTGCAGGTCTGGGACGCTGACCACTTCTCTGCTGATGATTTCTTAGGTGACCATCTATTTTTTGTCATTTTTGGTGTTTCTGCACCCCGTTTCAGATTGACTTCTGTACATGTTTTGCAGTATCGTTCACTGTACAATAACAACTCTCGTGTTATTCTGTTCTTTTTTTTTTTGTTTTTTGGGGGCCCCTTTGAGTGGGCCCAGCCCCGCTTCCCACGTGGCGCCAAGACGGCAAAGCAGTGCTCCCTGGGCATGATCCGAAACGAGCACGAGCTCCCTACCATTTCTATATTTAAACAAAAAAGAGTGAAGGGCTGGTGGCCATTTGCTGCCCGTGATGAGAATGATGACCTGGAGCTCACAGTAAGTCATGAAAAGTTTTAGGATCTCATATTACTGGAGAAATGTTGTACGATGGAGACGTGGTCCAAACCATTGTTGTCATGGATGTAATTACAGGGTAAAGTCGAGGCCGAGCTTCACCTTGTGACGGCGGAGGAGGCAGAGAAAAGTCCCGTAGGACTTGGACGGAATGAACCAGATCCACTGGAAAAACCAAAGTGAGACACTGATCCATGTCACTGACACTGAAGATAAATGTTAAGTCTCTCACAAACACTTGTAAAGTGACACATTTTACATTTAGTAAAAGTTCCAAAGGCAGATGTTTATGCTTGAAGCATCTGATTAGGAAGGTCCTCCGAAGGAAGTGCAAAAAGTAGTGTGCATCAAAAACTACAAGTACTATTACGAGTTGGGATTTGGCGCCACCTTACTGCAACACTTCTTTCTGCACTGTAAAAAAGGCCTCTTTTACACTTTCACACTATTTTTTTCCTTCGACCATCTCTTCAACTGTCTCCCCCCGTCTCCCCCTCCCTCCCATATTTTCCCTCCCATGTGTTTGTGACTTCCTGTCCTTTTCTCCCCCTGTATCTACTTTTTTTTTTTTTTTTGCTCTACTGCTCTGCTAAAAGTCGGCCGGACACCAGTCTAATGTGGTTTCTGGGTCCTCTGAAGTCCATCCGTTACTTCATCTGGCACAACTACCGCTGGCTGATCCTCAAGGCCTTGGGGCTGATCCTTCTGCTGCTCATGCTTGGCCTGTTCCTCTACTCTATCCCTGGTTACCTGGTCAAGAAGATCCTAGGGGCCTGACACACTGGTAGCCTGCACCCCCTCTCCTTACTGTCTCCACTTCCTCTTCTTGACCCCCTTAATTTGAAAATCCTCCCGTCCTTCCTGTAACACCATTGTTTACTGTCATTGTTTCGTCCTCTGTTTCTCTGACATTTAAACTTAAACTTATCTTTATGCAGTAAAGCTATGTCGTATCATGCCATCACAAAAACATGTCCTCAGAAATCCGAGCAGCTCATCAAGTCATCACTGAACCTCACTGTCGTCCAGAAATTACCTAAAATAATCATTATAAATCTATTCATATTAAATGATGAAGAAGAACCAGAATGTTGTAGTAAAGTAGTTTACAAAAATCTCATCTCTTTTGGTTTAAATGCAGGAAGTACAGACATGGAGTTCATCTTTGATTTCATTTTGTGTTCATTTTTCTGCTAAATTTTAAATGTGGATGAATTTATTCATTTAATCCAAAAAGGAAAAAAAATGTAAATGTAAATTCAACAGTATAATAGAACTATTATAATAATGAGGTCTTTGGAATTTTATTTTTTAAACTGGATATGTTTTTTGTCGTTGTTGGGTAAATATTGGGTTATTGGTGTGATCACTTTAGCTGAAATTCCTGAGTTTTTTTTTTTAAACCAAACGTCATGGTGTATTTATTCTTCGTCTGTTTGATTTGGTTTTAAGTTTGTGTTAATTCCTTTTTTTTAGAAGTTTTTTAAACATTATTTTAGCCTTACCATCTGTAAAATACAGAAAAATGTTGATGACCATTGGTCAGTCATACGTCATCCACTTATTCATCATTTCCATTCCTCTCCAGCAGACCCATTTAAACCGTGACCCGACCTTTGATTGTCAGCACGTCGTCTTAATGAATCTACTGTAACTCACTGACGCAGCCGTGTGCACTAACCACTCGTGTCAACTTTCTCTTTGTCCTCCTCTATCCCATCATCCACCTGCATGTGTCCTCCACATTGTTCTCTCTCCCACCCCCACCCTTACAACACCCCTCCCCCTGCAGTCGCCCAGACACCACCTTCCTGTGGTTCCTGAGTCCGCTGAAAGCCATCCGCTACCTGGTGTGCAACCGCTACAAGTGGCTGATCATCAAGATCGTGCTGGCCCTGCTGCTGCTCATCATGCTGGGCCTCTTCCTCTACAGCATGCCAGGCTACCTTGTTAAGAAACTGCTGGGGGCCTGAGGGAGTGATGGGGTGGTGGGATGTGATCCATGAATGGATGGATCAGGGAACAGGGTCGATGGGAAACTCTTTTAGTTTGGACACAAAAAGCACTTTAGAGGTCCAGCTTTGCTATTTTGACTTCTTAGGGTTATGTTTGTTCTTCCTGTACAGCTGGGCGACTTTAACGTTTACTTATAACTGTGAAGAAAAAGGCGGACACCTCACTAAAAATCCAGCCATGCCTCCAACATCTACTTTATCCTTTAGCGTCCAGACTAAATCTTTGAGCCACAAATGTTTTTTTTAAGCTGCTTAATTGAGAGAGAAAAAGAAAAAGATTGTGTGAAGGGTTTATTTTAAATGTGCTGATTTTATGTTTTAAATTCTTGAGCCTTTATTTCAAGTCATGCTGAAATCCTTTCCACTTTTGCTGAAATTATAAGGGAACAAATACTTTCTCCAGTGACACTTTGCTTTAAACCGTTTGTGTTTAGCTTTTGTTTAAGCTGTAAAAACCTTTAATGTTTAAAAGCACAAAAAGTGACAGTGTACAGCATGTGTCAGTTTTCCCTGTTTAGTTTTAAAGATATATTTCACCTGTTTTTATATGTTGGACAAAAATCCCTTTAAAGTTCATTTGACTCCACAGATGATTATCTTTTGTTATTAGCAAAGACAAGTTTATGTTCTATTTGCAAATGCTAAATACTGGTGTTTGAAGCAAAGTGTTACTGTTTTTGAACTATCGCTACTCTTGCGACTTTTGCACAGTCGAAAAAAGACGAAGAAAAAGATCTATTTTCCTAAAAAAAAAAAAAAAAGAAATCAGTGAGACGTGAAACAAAATTGCTTAAAATTAAGTATTTAAAAGTGAAAAAAAAAATCTGTCAACCATAAGCTCCGGCGTCAAAGCCGATGAAGCTTCATACTGCATCCGTGCAGAGTCCAAATACGTACATTTGTTGCAAACTTTACGTAACTGTTTATAAGTCAGTGCTAAAGTTCAACCACTGCTTTGAATCTAGGTGTTAACGTGCATGCATCCTTGTGTTACCTGACCAGAGATCATGTGTGTTGTTACGGCTTGTTGCCCTTCTAATTTAAATGTAAAAAAAAAAAAACTGTCTTCAAATGTAAAAAATGTCAATAACCTTATAGACTAAAAAGAATCTTGCGTTGTGCTTGAACTCACAGACCGTGAGTCCGTATTTTGCCCATCACAGAGTTACTGATTGCACTGAACCTGCCTGCTTTTACTGTTCATTTTGTGTATTTATGAGGTAGCTGTTGAAGCGTGCTGTTTATTTGCCTGTTAGTTTATTTGTTGTAGTTTTCTCGATAAAATTCCAAATAAACGATATCTGAAAGAAGCAACGGCTGTAGGTAAGAGATGAACAGATTTGAGCCTGAATTCAGCATCAGGGGAAAGAACTGCAAAACAGTGCGAAAACAGAGAACACTAGGAGTTTGGTACAGACCTTAAGGAATGGGTTTTTTAAATTTTTTTTAATAAAAGTCTGCTGTTGTTGCTATAGTACACAGACTAGAGACAAAAAAACCTACTTCAGTGAGTGTAAACTGGTGGTTTTTTAAAATATATACACATATATACATATACATATATACACATATATACATGTACTGCTGCTTCACATGGATTTTGTTATGCGACCTGTAAAAAGAATAAGAAAAAATCTGTGTGAATACTGATGTCTTCAGAATACATTCTGCTGTCATGCTTTTGTGTTAAGTGGAATAAAATGTAATGTGAAATGTCTACAGAGAGGTTGGTGGGATCGGCTCTCAGGTGGGCGTCAGATGAAGTAAAAGAAAACCACATTCTGTGATTATAAGTGGCAGGTACTGTATGTGGACACAGATGTATTCTAGTTCATGTGTCAAAATGATGGTGTAATTAACATGTATTATTATTGTCAATGTTGCAGGAGGTGAACGACTTTGTGCTGTGAAAACTCAGACCATTGTCACCGTGGCCTCCCCTGCTGTGATTATCATAAGGTACGTCTTTTTTAAAAATATATGTATGTATATATATATATATTATAAATATATATATAATATATTATTTTATATTTTATATAATATTATTTATTATGTTTTATATATATATGTGGGTGTGTAGCAACTGCTTGTAATTCTACAAAGCTAAATGTGTTACTTGATGAAATGGAGAAGGTTCTCCAAGGTGTGTTTATAGTTCACCCTGCTGGCGAGGTATGGGTACTGGCATTGCTGTAAGCAGAAACCCTGAAGTGGTCAAACACACATACGTACTTGTGGGTTGAGAGACTGTTGCAGCAGCATCCGCAGCTCTGCGTTCTGCTGCTTCAGACTGTCAGTCTCAGTGATGAGCTCAGAGATCTCTGTCAGCACTGAACTGTACAAAAAAAAGAAAAGTTTTTTTAAGGAAACAATGGGTAATTCGTGGTCCTGTGAATGGACATCTGTGTGGATCTACTCACTTGTACTGTTTGAGTCTCTTCTCTGTCTCCTCCCACAGTTTGACTTTGTCCTCAGATATAATGTTTCCCAAACTTTCCCAGTAGGCTTTGTCCTCTGAGCTGCTCCAGGCTTCTGTGTGACGAGCACTGGACTGTTGTTGACTTAGAGCAGCAGAAGCAGCACGTTAGCATTTTGTCTTTGTCTTTGTATTTTTATTTGAGAAAATGATTTGTTAAAGTTTCCTACTTAGGAGTGAAATCACCTGGACTTGTTGTACTGCTGAAGGAAACTCTTCAGAGCAGGCAGGACTTTATGAGGTTGGATGAGATCAGATGTGGAGCTCGTTCCCTGTGATGCTGCCTGGTCATGTGATTCTCCAGTCTCACTGCAGACATCCTGCAGGCACCAAACAAAAGAGATGGTTGTAATTCTGTCCGCACTCTTGTCTTGTTGAACTACAGAAATACTTCAGATCAGATTGATTCCCTACTGTACTGAAGAGGTCAACAGAAGAAGCTCTGTTGCTTCTCACCTCAGTCTGCTCTTCCTGGTGTTGTCTGTATTTTAAGAGGAAGTGAACCAACTCGGGCAAATCCTCCTCCTTAATGCCAAGAGACTAGAAGAGAATCACAATGTCTATTTGTTCTATTTTTATTCTGTAGTGACTGAGATCGTTCAGGTGAAGCAGCAACTGATAGGTTTGAAACGGTGAAAGAAAAGTGCATTTACTCACGGAGAGCAGGGAGCCCAGCTTCATGGCTGTCTGTGCGTCCTTGTCCAGACAATGGAGCAGCTTTACATCCTCCTCCATCAGGAAGCCCTGACAGTACAGTCAGAAAGAATACATGTAATGTTTGGAATTTTGAACAAAGACAAAAGAAAATTCTGTAAAGCACCTAACATCTTTCCATCCATCCATCTATCTATCTATCTATCTATCTATCTGTCTGTGTGTCATAATAATAAGTGCAGTAAGTGGTTCCAATGTCATAAACAGAAATGTTGTGTTTTTATGTATCTCTTACTATTTCCTCCCACAGCGGCTCCATGACCTTCGTCAGCATCTCCATGGAAAACATATTCTCCTCCTCCTCCAGCTCTGCCTGTCCATCGCTCTGCACCACTGACCTGTCCTTACACACCTCTACGTCTGTGCTCTCTGTGTCTGTCTCTGTTTTCATCCCCCGGCTGCGATGTGAAGCGGGGTTAGTTTGTGACAACCCAGAGAACTGCAGGTGGCCAGATCTGTGGAAGTGTTTGTCAGAGTGGACGCCTCTGACTGGTAGCTGAGGTCGTTGCCAGGCGATGCCGTAGTGCTGTTTGCAGATCAGTGAGTCGATATCTAAGGCCTTTTCAACGAGCTGTTTGACCTCAGCATCCACTGTTAACCACATGTCCTCAAATGTCCTGGTATCAGCCAGTGTAATCTGTCTGGTGTCAATTAGAACAGGAGCAAAACAAAGAGTTGAGGAGTTTGAAAAGGCAAGATAGAAAAACCCAAACATTGTCAGCACTGCAGTGTGTGACTCACTTGATTGTCTTCTGGAGGCGTTCATAGTGCTGAACACTTTGCTTGTACTCTTTGGACAAATGCTGGCTTTTCTTACTCGGCTGAGTGGAGTGTGTTGTGGTGATGCTTTTCTTCTTCTCTGTCGGCAGACTGATATACAAAAGAGTCGTTGCTGAAAACAAACAATGTTATTTGTCAAACTATGAGAACTAATTGTTTTTTTTTACCTTTCCACCCTGTTGTTCATGAGGATGTCCAACTCGTGCCGTTCCTTAATCTGCTTCAGCCTGATGATGATGTTGGAGGCCAGAATCTTTTGATGCTCTCGCTCCATCACCTGCAGAGGAAACAATGTGTGAACAAGTGAGTAATCTGGACATTAGTTTCATTTATTAGTATATCTGTGTAAAAAGGTGGTTGTGACTTTACTTGTAGCTTTGTGTTTTGTTCTATCTTAGCGGCAGTTTGTTTGTCCAATGTGTGAAATATCAGACTGTGAATTTTGGCTTCGTGCTCAGCCACGGTCTTCCTCCTCTCTGTCAGTCTGTCAAGCTGCAAGGAGATTCAAATATTAAGAACAACAACTTGTCGGGACATCAAATGTAAATACAGTGGGGCTTCAAGATACGACCTACCCAAAATACAAGTGATACAAGTGTATTGTGATACAAGGAAGCATCGACTCGCGAGAGCTCAATAGAACTCTATTTTCCCTGGGTTATTTTACTAATTTTTATAACAATAATATAAAGTAGTTTCTTAATTATTATTGTGATATTTGCAATATATTTGTTTATATCTGTGTGTGATGTTTAGATGAGGGATTGTAGTTTCATTAATTAGTAGTGTATTTCAAGGGGGCTGGAATGAATAGCAGTATTTTTTTAAAGGGGGACAATGCAAATGAGATATGAGTGATGCTGTGGAACAGATGAAAGTCGTATCTTGAAACCCTGCTGTATAGATGGACAGAGATGAAACATGACACGTTAATGTTTGTAACCTCTGTGTCCCCAAGTGTCTTGATGTGTTGGTCCCATTCACTCATGTCTCTTGTGAGTAGGTCATCGGTTTCCTGCCGATTCACGGCCTACGAACAACACGGGTGCATCCATTAGTATCGAGACGGACATCGCTGGAAGGCTACGTATGATTTGGGGTTTAAGGTATTAAGGGTTTTGAGATCTTTCTGGAGCATCTACCTGAGTCTGGAGCAGCTCCTCTCTGTAGGCAAGGGTCAGAGTTCTGATCTGGTCCTCCATCCTCTCCAGCATCAGGTCTCGCTCCTCTGTCTGTTTCCTCAAGTCCTTCACAAAGCGATCATCACCAACCTTCAGTTCCTGTTTAAGGCAGTACATTCAACAAGAGGGAAGGGGGGAAAAAAGGCAGGAAATACCTGGGAACTGTCAAAGTGTGTAAATCTACTCCACCTCCTGCAGGTGATTGATGAGGCTCTTCTTCTCCTGTAAAAGGATCGTGAGCAGCCTCTGCTGGTCGTCCAGAGCTATCTGCAGCTCCTCGGCGTGTACGTAGTCCTTGGCCAGCGACCATCCCTTAGTGATTTCCGCAAATTTTTCTTGACTGGACTTCATGTCATTTTCCAGTAGCTTTAGTCTGTGGCAGCAAGAACACAAAGAAAAAGAAGGTTAGACCAGACCGAGATATTAGAAGTTTGAAATGTAGGGTTAGTGACGGTATTTATGAACAGACCTCATTTCCCTGGCTTCTTCCAGGTCTTTTCTTCTCATAGACTCCCTGGCATCAGCAGCAGTTTGAATGTTGGTCACTAATGCTGTTAAATGTCTGTGGAGGTTAGTGATCCTCTGTGCAGAGATCTGTTCACCAGGGAAAAAAAGTGCAGGCAGCAGTAACCAACATGATAGAGGTTATGTTTAAATGTGGAGGTCCTCTTTTGACAACTGCCAAAATATTTAGTACTAGTAATCATTCGACGACAGGACAGAGTACATAAGTGCAGTAATAATCCAGACCAAACCTTTTCTTGCTCCTGTACATTCTGTTTCTGAGGCTCACTTTCTGTGGCCACTGTGTTGTCAATGGGATTTTGAGAAGCCCTGGAGAGAGTAAGGTGAAATAAAGTATAGTATTATCGCATACATATCACTGTAACCTTTGTTTTTACTAATAGGTTTCTGAAAGAGCGAAGCCACTTCACATACCTCTGTTCATTTCCCAGGGTTTGGGAGACCACAGCGGGTTCAGGCGGCGCTCCTGGAACATCAATTACTTCCTCCATAATTCAGAGTGTATTGGTTGAAACTGCCTTTTAAAATGTGAAAGTATTAAGATGTAATGGAAGAAGCAGCGGTGCCGTAAACGCGGTGGTTTGTTTGTGGACGTTCCCATGGCGACGTCGCGCGTGTTTGTTGCCATCACGTGCTCTTTCTGGGCGGGAGTGAATGACATTGAAACTGAAATGAAAAATGTAAAACGTGATATTAATGTTAAAACAGGTGTATTATTGTTAAAGGAATATGGTAACTTACATTAAAGCGGTGATTGAAATGTTTGAGACACTTAAGGCTGTGTAGTTTTTAAAGATTAAACATAACCGAAGTTGGTTCCGCCACAATAAAAAAAAAAGTTTGTTTAGTTTGGTTTTATGCCTAGTTAGTTTTTATTTGTGATTGGTGTCATACAAAAATGTGGTGTTTGCATATTTTGATGGATTTGTAAGAATAATTTTCGGAGAAAGTCGGACAGAGATAAGGACGGACACGGGGAGGAAGTTGATGCACCTGTACTTCCGGTAAGACAGACATGTGCTGTATTGGAGATGGCGTGAAACTTTAACTTGTAAGGAGAAAATGGCAGAAAGATGACAACATTGCTAAGGATTTTCTAACTACCTGGCTTTATGTCTAGTTAGTTTTTATTTGTGATTGGTGTCATACAAAAATGTGGTGTTTGCATATTTTGATGGATTTGTAAGAATAATTTTCGGAGAAAGTCGGACAGAGATAAGGACGGACACGGGGAGGAAGTGGATGCACCTGTACTTCCGGTAAGACAGACATGTGCTGTATTGGCGATGGCGTGAAACTTTAACTTGTAAGAAGAAAATGGCAGAAAGAGGACAACATTGCTAAGGATTTTCTAACTACCTGGCCACCCGGACCGCGGAGGCTGTTTTGGACCGAAAGACTAAGCATGGCGGTAGGAATAAGTATCTGTTATTCTCTGCTGTGTTTGTGTTGATTGATTGCTATGGTCGCTAGCATTGCTAAGGTAAAAAGCGTGCTTAAATTTGTGGCCGAGTAAAAGTAATCTTTATTGTCATTTCGAGATGGGGTTGTGAAGAAAAAGAACGTTTTTAAACGTAAATGACATGAAAGTGTAGAAGTGGTGAACAAGTGTCGTTCTTTTTTTCCGGCGACCTGCACACCTGCGGCTGCTGCACCTTTCCTAATTAAGTGTAAATACTTCAAACGACACGGAACAAACAAAGTGCTGAATGCGAAATTTGCATATTGGAAATAGTCGATGAACGACATGAGAAGTTACGGAGAGGTTAGTCACATTTTTGCGTATTGCAGAAATGTTTGCTTTGAGTGGCGTGGACGTTGAAGGTATATGTTCCGCAGCTAGCGGCTAATGGCTACATGTTGTCGGATTACAAACAGGTACCAGGTTTATTATTGTGTACGCGACGGTAATGTTACAGATGTATGTGTTAGCCGTTTTATTTCGTGTGCGTGAGACGAAGGTGTTGATTTGAAGTACACTTAAAAGATGTCGTTGGACCTATTGACATTAAAGCAATGCGGTTGCAAAGTGCAAACTTTAAGGTCGTGTCAATTTGAGCAGCGATTCTATAGATATCGAATGTAAGGGATTAAGGGCGATTGATTTGTCGCGGTGAGGGAGTGGATTGGTTAGGATATCATTTGCGCATATATGCACCTGTGCAGGGGGCAGTAGTGTGTAAAATGTGTAAGAGTCGTAATTGTTGTCTGTTAAGTTTAAGATGAGTGGAGTGTGTAATATTGGTCAGTAATCACCACTGCTGGTTAACTGTCGTAATTTTGCGTACCAAAGATGTAGCGTACTGTAGCAGTGCCTGAGTGAGTAGTTATTGCTACTGAAGCACCGTTTTGTGGTCTCAGATATGCATGTGTGCCGTAAGGGGGCAGTGTTGTAATATTCCAATATCGTGTGTGAAAATGTGTAAATATGACGTATTGTGTTGTGTAGCTTACAGTTTTAACAAGCTGAAGACGAGTGTTAGCTGTTCTTGAAGTTTTATTCACAGCTTCGGTAATATTAAACAATCTATCGCCACTGGCATGACGTCGTCCACCGCCTTGGGCTTCCACGCATGCTCAGTAACTGATGCATGCTGGGTAATGGAGTTCAAATCAGACTCAGTCATAAAATCGCCGTAATGTGTTGTCAGGTTTCAATGGAATAATGTAGAATATTATAATATGCCACACGTTGCCACTGCAACAATTGTAGCATAGTGTAACTGTGATTGGATGATTAGTTATTATTGCATGAAGTGTGATGTTATCAATGTTATCCTGTTAATCTGCTGTGGCGTAGGGTTTTTTTTGTTTAGGAACTGTCTGAGTGTCAGAAGTCAAAGATTGATTAGCTTAGCTTTGCTAATGGATAAAGGGCTGATAAAGATACAGTAGAAGGTGTGAATGTCGTAGATATCTGTGCAGTATTGACAGCAGAGAGCATGAAACCTTTAGGTTGTGTAGGGAGTTGGCTGCGTAATCTTCACCTTGTTCTAATCTGACAGGGACAAACATGGAGAGCTGCTGTTGGAGGTGGCGTTGTGGCTGGGCTGCTGTTCACAGAAGTTCCAGTGACACAGGTATAGCAATTCCAAGCATGACACTTTAAGTGTTTAGCACATGTATAATGTGATGTGTGGTACCAGTGTTCAACACCCCACTGACAAAGTGTTTGTGGGGTGTTTCTCAACTTTAAAAAAAAAAACAAAAACATGTGGAGGTAATGTAGGAGGACTTGTGAATAAATGTGTAATATATGAAGGCGTAATTGCTAAGAATGTTTGTGAAGAAAATAAAGTTATAGCCACATGTGTCACCTCTGTGTGTGTGTGTGCAGTCAGTGTCATAAATTTGAATGGCCAGTGGGTTTTGACAGGTGTTTGTAGTAAGTTGTATTTATGTTGAAGAAATGACTGAATAAATTGAGTAGTCTGTATTAGACTATGGATTCATCGAATGACATGTCCTTGGAAAGAATGTTGGCTATGATACATTGCTGATGTAGTAGTAAGTAGGAATTCCTAATTGAGTGCTTAAATCATACCAAAATTATAAGTAAATGATTAGTATTTTTTGATAATTATATTATGTTATTCTTTATTAGTATAATAATAATGACATCATAAAAGCAGTTGCTATGAAGCAGTACTGTGTAAATAGAATTTCCGGCCAGCATTTGTATATTGCCCTCTGGTGGATGCACATGGCGTTGCAATAGGAACAAGTAGTTTGCCCTGACCTAATCCAGTGTGTACGTTGTTGTCAGGTCACGTTGCAGCGACCAACATGGATCAGCTGTTGGAAGGCACCTTGTGGCTGAGCTGATGTTCACAGTAGTTCCAGTAACACAGGTATGTCAAGTCAAAGTCTTATCCATGTTGTGTTTTATGAAGAACAATATAGTCGCTTACCCAAAATTTCCTCAGGTTGGTTCACAGAGAAAACCTCCCAGTGTTTGACATTAGAAATGTGTTTACACGTTAGTCCGTGTAGGTATTGCACTGATGTCCAGTGCGTTATATGTTTCAGATATGGACATTGTCAGTATTTGTGGAGTCAGATGAACGTTGTCACTGAAGTGAGAGCTACATGTGAGACTGCTGTTAGGGATGAAATGCTAGGTACTAACAGTGGTTTGGCTATTTTTTCAGTGGAGTTAGTGCTGTGATGAGGGGACAATGATCTGCATCAAGGAATTGGAGGTAATTAGCATAGAATGGACCTGTGTTGTTTAGAAGTGTTAGTGTAACATGTTAGCAGGTAGTTGTGTAAACGCTGAAAGTGTAATTGTCAAAGGAGCTGAGAAGACGGAATAATGTTCAGAATCAGTAGAGTAGATGGTATGTGTACTAGAGATGAGAAGCAATGTAGTAATAATAGTACGAAGTTCCTGAGATTGTGTATGAAAGAAGTTGATCAAGAATGAGTCTGGAGTTGTTGTTAGTGTGTAGCTCTGTCCTGCTTAGAAATCAGAGACACTGCTCTTTTTTTGTGGTAGGTAGACTTTTGATTTAGGGCAGAGGTTGGCAACCCGTGGCTCTGGAGCCACATGTGGCTCTGTGATCCCTGTGCTGCGGTTCCCTGTGGCTGTGGAAAATAAAGAGTGTAACCCAGGTGTTCTTATGAGTTTCTGTGGGTTTCCCTGGACCGCAGGATCAGACTGTGATGCTCCTTTTTGTAATGTCCACCAGAGATGTAAGGAACATAAATGTCCGTGTCCACCATGTTGTCCTGGACCTCTGGCAGTGATGATCTGGCGTCCGCTCCAGGCTGCTGCACCCTCCGCTCCCCTGCTGAAGTACACACAGACTGACTGATTCCCTGGAAGTGCTGCTGCTGCTGCTGCTGCTGGCGACTGAGATGGCGCCCCCTCTCCACCTGCTGTGGTCCTCCACTACAGTTGTATCGCCTGCTCCAGTGTATGTCCACTTGAAGATGTATCTGCAGCCGTCTGGACGTTGAAGCCTGCAGAAGTGAAGCTGAGGAAATGGACAATTAAAATGGAAATGACTAGGGGAAGGACTGGAATGGACATGGAGTGTTGTTTGTTTGTACATGGTGTTGTTTCCATTAAATGTCCAAAGGATGTTTTGTCTCTCAGTGTTTTTTTTTCTGTGCGAAACAGTCCAAATGGCTGTTTGAGTGTGTACAGTTGCCGACCCTGATGTAGGTCAGAACAGTGTAGTGATGAGGAGGTCCTGAGAAGTAGGTGAAATGTTTGCGAAAGTTGAAAATGAATGCACTCAGTGCCATAGTGTAGGTAGTGACTGTATGTCATGTGGTTAAAATAGTGTGGTTGGAATGTGTAAAAAAAAAAGTGCTTTGTTAGCATGTGAATCAGTGATAACAGTAATGTACTGTAGTAAAAAGTGACAGGCAGGTGTAGGGGATTTAGAGGAAAGAGATAAGATAGAGGAGGTTATGTCATTAAATGAAGGGCAGATGATTAGGTTATGTTAGAGATGTGGGAGGAGGTGGGAGGTTGTGGATTCATGTGATGTCATGAATGTAGCAGTGAAGAGTGAAGATGCCGTTGTGTTGGTGACCAAAGGACCAAAGCAGTGAGGTGACGGCCAGCTGTGGGTGTGTGAAAGAGGTGAGGAAAAAATTCAGAGGGAGTGCACGTTGAAGTAAAATGAGGTGAAATGGAGAGTGACGTGTCCATGTGTTCACGGTGTCCCAGTGGAGAAGTGGGAAACAAGTCGTGTGGTGGAGGGTGAGGACTACAGGGGGAGCAGCAGCCATGGCATGAAGAAGGAGGAGGAGGAGGAGAGGAATCCGTTTTCAAAGTGAGTACCCAGTGACATACACACGCATACAGACATGAGAATGTGTTGTGTGCATGTGTGGGGAGCAGTGGAAGCTGTGAAGCACCTGTAGGGGGAGTAGGCAGGTAGTTATTATGAGTGGTGACAGTGAGGCTGTGAGTGGTGGTGATGTGACTGTAGTTTGACAGGAAGGGATGGAAGGAGTGGATGTAGACACAGAGGTAGTTTGGTGAAGAGGATGAAGAGATGTGAGTGGAGCTACTGTGTATGGTGTGTGCAGGGTTTTGATGTAAGGTATGTAGAAGTGCCTGTAGCAGCTGCCTCAGATGGGCTCCCTCTAGTGTTGGGTATGTCTGTGTAGGTTTGCAGTCATGCAGGTCATGTAAACCCAAAAAAAAATAGTGTTGTTGGCGGGGTTTTTAATTGGATAAAGAAGAGAAGCAATCAGGTTCCAATTGAAGTGGTCTTTATTTGCAGAGCTCTGGGTTGTTATGCTTGTGTTACAGGATGTGCAGTGAGAGACAAATTGTAATTATAATTTCCTCTGCTATGCTGAGTGCATATGTTTATATTGACAATACATATGTTCCAAGAATAAATGTGTATGTGGGTTATAGAGCGTATCTTCCAGGAATCAATGTCTATCTATTCCTTCTAAGACAGAGGTCTTGGTGTGGTTGTGTCACCAAGTCACATATGCAGAGCATGCACTATATGTCTATATGTAATAATATGTGGTTATGGAGCAAGTGGGTGTAGTGCATGTTTGTGTAGCAGCGGCAGCTTATAAAGGCTTGTGTGGATGTATCCTGTGAGCAGGTCATGAGCAGTTTGTGTATGGTGACATGAGGCCCTCAATAGTTACATGGAGAGCAACTGGACAAAGTGGTTTTGTTTGTGAGGATGTTTGAGGTGTCATCCAAGAGGCTTCTTCAGTTCTGACAGAGTACTGGGAAATTGTGGTATTTAGCCTCAAAGGGGGCTGCACACCTTTAATGAGGGGTGTTGCAGAAAGGGGGGGATGGAGGTGTGGTGAAAAACACCGTATTCTAAGGAGGGTGGAATGTGAAGTCACAAGATTAGAGTTGTGTATGGGGAGTGGTACCGTAGGTGTGGATTAATAGTTGGATGTGAGCGACAGTTATGGCTGGGTGTCCTTAGAAATGAAACAGTGGTGTTGTTTTCAGGGAGGGGTTGAGGTGTTTGGGGTGAGAAGTCAGGATGACATTGTAGGTGAATTGAAGGTTGTGTCTCCAACCACCTACTCTATTGAGAGATGGTATCTCCAGAGTAACATAGATGGCGTCCTCCAGCCCTCTGAGCAAGCATCTGTCGTTTGGGGTGAGGATATGTATGTACATCCTCATCCACAAAAGTGTGTCCTTTGTCCTCAAGATGTAGATCAGATGTGGCAAAGTGAAGGGGCCCTCCATGATGAGTTGTGGGGCCTGCAGGAGCTTAAAAGGCATTTAGTAAAGGCGGTCATAACCTAGTGAAGTTAATTTTTGTGTAATGACACAACAAGGAAGAGTATTTGTAGACTGGAAAAAAAATAATCAAGTATAGAAACATGTATTAGTATGTAATGGAGTAGTCAGAGCTATAGCAGTGCTCCCTGAACGTTGTTGTTCCAAGGACAGGTAAGCCAGTTCCAGCTGTTACTACAGAGCAGTGGAAAGGAACTGAGCTTTGAAGGATCATTTTGTGGTGAAGGTGAAACATTTTAAAGATTGTGTTGTGTTGGTATTGGAGTTGGAAGACCTAGTGTTATGAAGTAGTGATATGTTATCTTTAAATGAAGGAAGTGAATAGATCAATTGGTGACCCCTGATGTATGCAGTTGTGCATGTACAAGTGGCCCTGTGAGGGGAGCTGAATTGCTGATGTGGCCCCTGGGGAAAAAGAGTTTGACAGCCATGATGTAGATGAAGAGGTGAGTTGTGCCCTGAGTAACTGGCTCCCCTGTGTTGTTGCATACGCTTGTATGGGGGTTTGTGGGTTTTCTCACAAATGTAAAGATCAGGGCAGTCGTCGTTGCACTGTGCTGCAAATGCAATGTTGCTTGTTTGTTGGACGAACCAGTGTTTGTCTGAGGGTGTTGGTGGGTAAAAAATGTACAGGAAGTTGGTGTTGGTTAAGAAGTGTGCAAAGTTTGTTGGAGGTCCCGGCAGCATCAGGAATGATAATGTTGTTCTGTTTGTGAGTGTCCTCCTTTCTGTGTTTGTGGTTGGTAGCTGTAGGTGTTTGAAGATCCTCTGATGTGGGACTGTAGTGTTGTCCTCCTCTTGTGAAGGGATGTGTTTGGCTCTGTGATGCAGAGTTGTAATAAGTTCCAATGTATGTAGTAGTGGGTGATGTGATTTGAAGTGTAGGTGTTGGTTGGTGTGGGTGGGTAGCGTGTGGACAGCAACGTAAAGGTTTCTGTCTTCCTTTATGTGTACTGCACAGTCCAGAAAGGCCAGGGAGTCTCCTTTGAGAGTGTGTGTAGTGAATAGGATGTGGTTGTTGGTTGTATGAGGTGTTGGGTGAGGTATTGTAATCATGTATTTGTACCAGTGTGATGGTGTACTGTAGTGGTGCTGCAGGAGGTTAGTGTCCTTTGTAGTGTGTGCGTGATGTGAAGGTTGGTTACAAATGGAGATACCTGAGAACCTGTGGGGTGTTAGTGTCTGTAAGAACAGCTGTTGAAGTGGAAGTTTGTGGTGAAGCAGAGGTGCAGGAGTATAGTTAAGATGGCGGTGTTAGTGGAAGATGTGTGTTGTAGTAAGTGGAATGTAAGTGAAAAGGTGAAGTGATGTGTTGAAGGAAGGCATTGTGTGATGTGGTTCCAGTTGGAGTCTTTTAAGTTTGTCAGCAAAGTCCAGAGACATTGTGATGTGATGTGATATGATGTGTTCTTGAGTATTGGTGTAAAAGCATGAGAATGATGTTTAGCAATGTTGTAAGTGATGGGTTTGATGCTGCAGAATATGGGTGTAAGAGGAGCAGCTGTGTTACGCACTTTAGAAAGTCTGTAGATGTGTGGGGTGGAGTTACCGGGGTGTAGTTAGAAATATGGACTGTGGTTAGTATTGTAGTGTTTGTTCAGTTGTTGTGAACATTGTACTGCGTTTATGTTGTATGCAGTGGTTGGATCTTGTTTCAAAGTGTTGTATGTGGTGTGGTTGGTAAGGAGTGTCTTAATCTGACCCTGGTAATGTGATGTGTAAAGGATGACTGTATATGTTCTTTTGTGTGATGGTGGTGTAGTGATCCAGATGGTTTTTGCAATAGGCCCATATGGGTATGTGTTGTGTGATATTGTGTAGTGTTATGTGGGGTAAGTGTAATGTGTGTGTTGTAATTGTGATAGGAAAGTTGATGTAGCTGACATTGGAAGGCATCAATGGCAACAAGAGGTGGTGAATGATGAGTGAGCATTGATGGAGTAGAGGAGGAGGATGTAGTGGGTGGGGCAGATGATTGGAAAGGGAGGGGAAGGAGATGTTAGTGCGAGTGAGCTTTTGTGAGATGAGCAATGCATGAGTGAAGTGTAAATGTGGAGAAGTGTAGGGGGGTGGTGTGGTAGGCATTTGTTGGAGTTGGTTGTTGGGAGTTGGATTGTGGTGTTGGTGGAGTGTGACAGATGGCATAGTAGGGTAGACTGTAGTTTAGGGTGAGTGGCAGAGATCAGTGTAGCAGGACACTGTGTCCACACTGTGATGGGAGGGGAGTGCGTGGAAGTGATTGGATTGGAGTAGTGATAGTGTGCTGTGACAGATTATGTGGTGTTTGGTGCGGGTCACTGAAGTAGTGTGAGAAAATGGTATGGATGTATTGAAATATGTGTGTTTGTAAATGTGTGACAGGCAGAACAATGAAGTAGTTGTCTGCTAGGTGGCAGTGGGTAGTTGGAGTTGTTGAAGGACATGTTTGTGAGTGTGTTTTTGCAGTTGGTGTGGGTATGTAAGCATTGTGTTGAGGGGAAGAGGACAGAATGGTAGCATGAAGCACATGGATGGAGTGGTGTTTGTGTCATGGTAGTACATGTGCACACAGCAGCTAGCAAGAAGGAGTGGTGGTGTTGTAGTTGGTGTGGTGTTTTGTGTGGGAATGTGGTCTGAGTGGTTTGGGTCAGTTGTTGTTGTGTTGGTTGGCCTGCTGGTGTAGCTGTGGGGAAGTGGCAGAGGAGTTGCCAGCAAAGAAGTTGCATTGTGGGTGACAGGAAGGGGAAGTGGTTAGAGGTTGTAGCGGTAGGCTGTATGTTGATGTAGGGGTTGTTGTGGAGGAATGTTATAGAGTGTGGGTTGGCATTATGTGGGTAGTAGTGTGTTGTGTGGTGTTGTGAGTGTGGGCAGGCAGAAGCAAGACAGACACACAGGTAGTTTGGTAAAGTATACTTTATTGAATGGGTGAAAGGCAGTACATGAGGAGACAGTGGGCACAGGGTTAGGTAAGACAAAATGGTAGCATGGAGCACATGTGTTCTGTGCTACTAGTATGCTACTAGTGTCACAGTAGTAGCACATGGACACAGGTAGTAGCACGGCCAGAGTTTGGTGGCAGGTGTCCGTGTGGCTTGAGGTGCAGTTGTTGTGTGTGGCCTCTGCACATGTGGGCAAGAGTTGCTGCTGGAGAGTCCTGCAGGATGTGGGAAGTTGCCTCAGGTGTCGGTGGCCATTGACGATGGGGCTCGTTGTTTTGCAGGAGTGCGGTGGAGGCGGATGCTTCCTGGGTGTGACTGAAAAGAGAAAGTGTGGTTAGAGGTTGTAGCTGGAGGTTTTTAAGTTTATGTAGGTGGTATGGTGTAGAGGTGGAAATTGGGAGCAGTGTAGGTTGAAAGTCCTGCAGGACTTTCAAGCAAAGTGTGGGTAGTTGGAGTTGTAGGTAGTGTTTAGGCCTTGTTGTTGGCCTTGTGTTTTCTGGGGTAATTAGGTGGTGTGAGTGGCTACAGGTGTGTCTGCTGGGGATTGGTGCAATCAATAGCAGGATACTCCTGCTAGCAACTCCTGCTGGAGTTTCCAGCAGGATTATGTTGGTACGCCTGCAAGCACTTGCAGGTGTACCAAGTATGTTTGCAAATGTTTGTGTGGGTGTGAGAGGAAAGCAATTTGGTTAGAGGTTGTTGGTGGAGGCCTGTGGCTCCAGCAACTAGTTCTATGTGTGTGCCTTGTTTTTGTGTGGAGTGTGGTGTGCAGGTGTTCTTACTTGGTGGCTGATTGGATCGTTTGTTTGCTGAGTTGGTGGTGTCCCTCATGGTGGGGGAATTTGGCAGAGTTCTGTGGCCTTCTTGGAGGTGTTGCCTGTGGTGGGGTCAATTTGGCCAGGGTTTGGTGGTAGAAGTCCGAGGAGAGTTGGTCAGAGTTCCGTGGCCTTGTTGGAGGTGTTTGTGATACCTGAGTGTAGTTGGGCAGCATTCTGTGGCCATGAGGTGGCTGTTTCCTCTCTCTGTAGGTGTGGGGGAGAGGTTGGAGGTGTTGCTTGTAGTGGGGGCAATGTGGCCAGGGTTCTGTGGGAGAAGTTAGAGGATTGGTGGTAGCTGAGTGAAATTGGTGAGAGTTCTGTGGCCTTGCTGGAGGTGTGTGTGATACCTGAGTGAAGTTGGGCAGCATGCCGTGGCCATGAGGCGCCCGTTAGCTCTCTGTGGGTGTGGGGGAGAGCGTGATGGTGAGCAAATTCTGAGTAAAATCGGGCAGCATGCCGTGCCCTCTCGGCGGACCCTGCTCGGCGGACACGCGCAGGCTGACACGCTTCGACTTTGCCCTCGTCCGACTTCGCCCGAGGACGACCTTCACTCGAGCAGACGCCGGAACAAGAGCAGAGCTGGAACAAGCAGTGCTGAACAAACAGAGCTGAACACAGAGCTAACACAGGCTAAACACTTGGGTGATGCTACGCTGACGCTTGTCACACTGAGCCCTAAATACTCACCCACTCCAATCACTCCCAGCTGTTCCCGCCTTCCCTAACGACCAACGTTGGCACAAGGCCAACCAATTGCTCTGCAATCAAGCCTTCATGGACACCACCTGTGGAACACAAGTCACAACTTACAACTTCCTC